ACAAGCATCATGGGCTGCTTGGGAGGAGGAGAAGCCCATGGCGGGGCTCCAGGGAGGCGTTTGGCCAGTCCCTGCTGCCTGACCCCTCGCCCCAGGAACCTCCCATTGGCCAACAGGCTCAGCAGCCTCTGGTTAAACTCAAGAGTGCTCTTCTCCCTGAGATTCCATTTCTCATTTCTAGTCGGCAGACAGCACGCAGTCGGTGGGTGTGCCGGACAACATCTCGTGGGTAGCAGGGTTACATGATGCAGACCCAGGCAGCAGGCTGTGGCTGCTCTGTCTGATAAAGCTACTCATAGAACTGGTGGCTCTTGCTTGTAATCCCAGCAGTCTAGAGGCTTAGGTGGGACAACTGCCTTGAGTTCCAGGGCATAATGGGTTCAGGCTGGCCTGATCTGCATAGCAAGACCCTGTCTCAAAAAATGAAATAAAATAAAATAAAGTTCATGTAGTTTCCTTACACACACACACACACACACACACACACACACGCACGCACACACACACGCACACACACGCACATTTTCCAAGCAACCCAGTGAACACACCACTAGAACCCAGCCACAGTCTGTGCCTCCACACACAGACAAGGATGCTCTCCCTGCAGCAGTGCTTGTGAGGTTTGAGCTGAGAGAATTAAAGGCTGTGTAGGAAACAAACTTCGCAGCCATTTAGAAGGAGGAAGATCTCTGTGCACCAAGGCGCTCATGGTTCATTTAGTCACTCACATTAGCTCATTATCTTGTTAAATGAAGAGGCAAGTTTATGTACAAACATATTACAATTTATAGGAGAAATAACAGAAACCACATGTGATATCTGTGAAGGACTGGTTTGAGGATCCCACCGCCACAAGATACCCAAACATCTGGGCATTCAACTACCTTATAAAACGGGCTGTAGTATTTGCATAGAATCTATGCAGTTCCCCTGTATACTTCATTTTCTTGAGATAAAATAAAAGCTTTTCCAATTACGAACTGATCAATTCTTAACAGAATGGTTTGTTCATAATAACAGCAACGATGTTTCAGTTATGTGAATTAATCGATATTTCAATTACCGGTACTTGTTGCACGTACGTGTCTGTGTCTGTGTTCTCGTATGTAAGGGAAATGAGTGAGAGCAGTGGTAGAAGAGCTGGGGAGGGGTTCTAACCGTTTCATTACACATTACACTATCCGTAAAGTCGTACAGAGTTAGCATGAGCATAGATTAGTTCTAAATGCGTGTTGTCAAACTCTAGAGTAAACACAAAAGATGAAGCGTAACTATATGCCAAGGAAAGAGACATGTTAGAATATGAAATGTTCAACTCAAACCACAGTAGGAAGGAAAAGAAGGCAAAAACAGGAACAAATAACAGCAGTCATAAGTAGGAAAGAGTATATTGTAGCGGAGTCCAACCATGTGAGCGATCACTTTGAATGTCAGCAGTGTAAGTGCCGGCATTAAATGTCAGCATGGGCAGGCTGGGTTTAAAAGCCAGACCCGACTGTGCTGTATATAATAAACCCACTTTCAAAATAAGAACACCTATTGTTTAAAAGTTCTAATTACTAATGACAATGTTACGGCAGTGCTGGGTAAATAGCTGCTGTACTGCATTTAAGGAACTATAACAAGAAAAACGTCTTTCTTCGGCATGTTTTCCATCTGCTGTTGGTTGAGCCCACACGTGCACCAGGAGCACAGAGATGAGCCAGGAAACCGATGCGGGTGACTGCGTGTGCCGTGTGGAGGGAGGCAAATGAGGGCGCTTCCTCTCAGAGCAACTTTCTGTCCGGTTTTGACTTTTGCACTGTTCAAATGCTTCATGTTTTCAAAAGTAAATTTAGATGAAGATTTCTAAAAAAATCCAGTCCCTATAATCAAGTAAAAACAGAAATAAGGTAACTAAGCATCACACCGATAGCCGCAGAGAGTAACTTTTGAACATGGGCGGGGAGTCTCCGTTTTTAACAGCTTTGTTGACTTACATACCTCAGGTTCACCCACTAGAGGTACAGCTGACGCAGTCAGCACTGTAATCCGGTTTCACGTATCTTTTACCATTCCTGAAAGAAGCAGGTAGCCAAGTGCAGTCACTTCCTGTGCCTCCTGCACCCCGGCCCATGGGAGCCCGAGGGCAGCTGCTGATCTGCACTCTGGTTTTGGTGGCATGGTTGGTGTTCTTTGTGGAACTGGCATTGAGCCAGGGCCTTCACACGGAGCTACATCAAAAACCCATCTTTTATTTTTTATTTTTTAAGATGTGGTCCTTCTAAGTCGTTAAGTGGCCCAGGTTCACTCCAATTGTGACCCTGCAGCCTCAGCCTCTGCCTCCCACAGTGCTGGGCTTGCAGGCACCTCACTCTTCCAATTTACTTTCTGACTTCTGTCTACGTCTCTCGTCTCTCGGCAGGATACAGCCTCAGGAGCAAAACCTAGGGGAAACAAAAACTAAAAGCTCCTGAGACACATCTGAATTTTTACAAAATGATTGATTTATCATTAGTGGTAATATCTTTATTAAAACTTTGAAACTCATTATGCATATTCTAAGTCAGATAAACGAACTGTTACTATTATTTGACACCAGCATTTTTTTGCTATAGTGAAAAAAGATATAGAGTTGCTACTGGATTTACGATAGGTTAGTAGAAGGAGCTGCTCACCTTATGGCAGCCAGAAAGCAGCAGGAGACAGGAGGAGACCAGGCTTCGGAGTCCTGGTGAAGGCACCGCCCCGGGACCTAACTTCCTCCTCCTCACCATCTCTCAATGGTTTCATGATAGCTAGGAATTAAATCTTTAAAATGTGAGCCTTGGACCAGGATGTGGCTTAGACAGCTCACTGGGCCAGCAAGTGTGAGGCCCTGCCTGCTGCAGGGTCGGTAAAGTGCTGAACTAGGAGCCTTTGGGGGACATTTCTGATCCAAACCATAGCAGAAGTGGTGATGTGAGGAAACTCCTTTGCCTAGAAAGGAGTTCACTGGAGAGCCCATTAGAAGGACATAAAACAGCGCTCAACCTGCACAAATCTGAGACAACTTAAGTCTCCCAAGAAACAGTGAAAGTAAAGGCTTATTACACGTGGAATTAAAATGCCTGGAGCGAGTCACTAGAGATTAACAAATAAAAGGGTGAGAGATGCAGGGAGGCTGGGAAAGCTCTTATTTACAGAAGAATGCCAGATGAAAAGCAGAAGAAATGACAGAAATAGAAAAATCACCATTTACCCCCATAACAATTAATTTGGGCAAAAACCATCATCACTGGGTGAAATATGCTGAGCACAGAGATGGCAAACAGTCTCAAAGCATCGGGATACTTAGAGCATCATTGCTCAGATCATCGATTTATTACAAAACAGGGGGAAATGCCCGTGAGCTCTGGTGGCCACTGCCTTCACCAGCTGAGCACACGTGGTGTCCAGCAGCAGGGCAGCTCTGTATACACGCCTCCCACTGGGGTGAGGTCAGGTGTTCACAGGCGCACTGACAGAGTACTCTTGCCAAAACCAATCTGTTTTCCAGTAGTGGGGACTGAGCTACTACCCAGACCCCCAGCCCCCTTCTGAGACAAGATCTCACTGTTAGGAAGTTGACCTGGCCAGGCTCCACTTTGTGATCTTTCTGTCTCAGCCTTCCAGGATGCTGGAATTACAAGTGAAGCTACATTTAGCTTCTTGCCAAAAATATTTAACCTGAGTTTAGTCGTGAGACAATTAGACAAATTCAGAATATGAGGTAATTCTACAGCACAACTGGCCTGAATGCTTCAAAAAGGGTCAGCATTAAAAACAAATGAACATAAAACTGATCTAGGGGGATGAAACTCCCAACCCGCTAGATGTCCCAGCATAAGTTCATGTTCTCTAAAATTGAAGAATAAATTTTAGGAACAACGGAGGTTAAGAGCAGAATATGTTTATTGAGAGAAAAAAAGCTTACATCTGAGGGAGAGACACAAGGGGTCCTGAGTGGGTTGCCAAAGACTGTCTTTTTAGGGACTTTTATAGAGCAAAACCACAGGATGAGATGAGTCCAAGATGGGGAAAACATGGGAACTCTCAAGGTGGTCAAAAGGTGGGATGGAACTATGGTTAACCAATAAAATCAATTGCTTGGGTAAAATTGATTAAATCAAGGGCAAATGGGGAAGCGAATTACCTAACAAGTAGGCATTAATGAGCAGTGATTCTTCCACAGGTAGTTAGGATGGTGACCCCTGGCTTTCTCAGGGTGATAGAGACCTATTTAGAATATCAGTCCTTAGGATGTGGGTGCACTTGTTTGATCTTTTGTCTTGAGGCCTGGCCCACAGCAAGAGGTGTCTGTCTGCCCTATAGTTGCAAGGTATCTGGGCTTCTGCACTGGCTCCTTTGAGGACCCAGCCCTGTCTGACTGCCTATGATAGTTCTGTCTAACTCAATTGCCTGTAACAAAATCATGAGAGTCTATTTTGTATTCAGAGGACTAAAGAGACATAACTACCAAGTGAGGTCAGTGCATGTTGAGCAGATGTTAGACTTTGAAGAGCATTTTATAAAGCATTTGGGGACAGTCGGGGAGGTTGTGTGAGGGCCACCTGTGAGATGGTAGTTCCGAATGACTGCTCATTTTCTTAGTGTAAGACTGTTATTGGCTTATGTGAGAATATTTTGGTTCTTAGGAGAAATGTGTGGAAATACTTTGCAGTGATATGCTGTGATGTCTATCAATACTTTCAAACAATTGAGACCTAATAAGTACAAATAGGAAAGGAAGAAAGAAAATATGACTAGGTGACCATAAGTGCAGGGCACTGGATGTGTGTCACTTGAGTTGTACTTTTCTGTAGCTTTGAATATTTTCAACAGGAAGCTGCAGGAAGAACTTTAAACATGAGTTAGGGATGCCGCATGTTGGGGAGGCTTTTGGCAGCTGACTTTCCTCCAGCTCGGGCTGGTCTAGGGCACCTCTGGTGTCGCCTGCACATCCCTGCCTCCTGACCTAAACATCTCCCGTTTCCTTTCAGGTGAAGACCCACTTGTGGATGATCAAAATGAGCGAGATATCAATTCTGTCGCTGGTGTTTTAAAACTGTATTTCCGAGGACTGGAAAACCCACTCTTTCCTAAGGAAAGGTTTCAAGATTTGATATCTACTATTAGTAAGTGTTTCCCAGAGGGAACGATCGTTCCTTGGACAGATCTGAGTTGAAGCTGCACTGTGGACCCATATCCTTGCTAGGCACGGTGCGAGTGTTAGCAATGCGGCTCTTGTTCTCAGAACTTGTGGCCCAATGTTGGAGACCACATGGTTCATGGAGAGAGGGCTACCCAGCTTGGTAAACACCCTGCCCAGTACACAGGAGCTCAGAGAAGGTGCAGAGGGAGGCTTGGCTTCACAGATCAAACCTGAGCATGATCTGAGCACATCTCACAGGACAGGTAGATGCAGGAATCCTGGGGAGAGCTGGGGACTCAGACAGGGGACCAGTGGGAAGGTGTCCCAGCCGGTGCATGGTGTGAGCTGCTGGAGGAGTTAGATGAAGTGAGACGGGGACCAGCGGGCCTTGTGGGGTTCCAGAGCTTTCTACTTCAGGTGTTGGGGACTGTGACTGTTTAGTGGTCAGGTCAGGAATGCGACAGACAAGGGAAGTGGTGACAGTAAGCTGGCTGAGGGACTCCTCTTCTGTTGTTGGCTGTGGGAACCCATCTTCCTTTTTGTTTTTTTTCATGGTCTCTTCCTCATTTTCCAGCTCTGCACTGTGTCTTAGAGACCCCAGGCCACAAGGCCCAATTCCGTCTGAGCCGTGTGTCACTTGTCCTACCCAAATGTCTCTAGAACCCCGCAGTAACCTTGTTCCTATGTGGACCACCTCTACCTGGTCCAGGACACTGCCTGCCTGGATCATACCTGAGGAAGAACCCTCAGTTTCCTCCTGTCCCTGCGATTATGTCAAGCAGAAACCCTCACACGTCAGCTACCTTCTAAACAGATAAGGACAAGGTCTCCAAACGTCTGCAGAACAACATCAACCTGTAACTTGGGGACACCATTTTGCCCTCTTCGTGTAATCCCCATCTGTGGGTCCAATTGCCAAGTTTCCGTTACCCGCAGTCAACCGTAGTCAGAAAGTGTGAAATGGAAAATGCCAGAAGGACGCAGTTCATCAGTTTCTGCATACTTTTGTAACTGTTCTATCTCGTCTGTAGTCACTGTTAGTCTCTTGCTGCCTAAGTCATGAATTAAACTTTCTAAACATCGGTTTGGGTAGAGAAACAGTGCGCACAGGGGTTGCAGTAGCCGTGGTATCACACATGCACAGCACAGCTTGGAAGTTATCCCCCACGGATGGGGGGCCGCTTACCTATTTTTATGTTAACACCCAATTATGAGAAGTGGTTGTCATTTCCCATTAATGAGAGGATATAAAGTTTCCTTTCTAAGCAGATGTACTTAGTAAAGACAGGGGGAACTAACAGGAGGGAAGCTGGTCCTCAGGCATGAGGGCTTGAGAAGAGCCGGGGACATGCAGAGGCCTGGGGTGCAGCCGAGGAGCTGATTTTAAGTAATAATAGACTGGCTTTGTCCTGAGCTGAGGAGGAGCCAGCATGTGCACAGTCCTGCGAGCGGCAGTGTCCTTTGTGTGAAAGTGATGGGGCAGACAAGGCCATCCGACGTGGGTTTCCCTCTGCGGCACTTTTGGAGTTTAGTGCAGAGAGGTGCCTTGCTGTGTGTCCCACAGATTCGGGACACACAGGACCCTGGCCTTTGGTAACCAGGTGCCAGTCCTGCCCTGCAGTCACTGTGACAATTCCAGAGGAGGCTCTACAGGTGTGCTTGCACCCTGGATGTGTTGGTAGCCCTTTATTGGAGAAGCACTGCCCCAGATCATCTTGGGGAAGGGGTGGCAGCTGGGGACAAGGCTGGCAGGGTGGATGTGGAGGCCACAGAGAGGGTCTGAGCCAGGAAAACCTTACTGGGAGAAGAAAATGGTACGATCCTGCACATCAGCCCTGCCGATGAGCTCCAGAGCTTTGGCCGCCAGCTCCCCATCTCCAGAAGCGCTTGTGGCCTCTTCCCAAGCTCCTGTTCCCAGCAGAGCTCAGAAGTGTACCAATGCCTATCTCCCCAGGGCTGAGCCAGAAGCAGGGGTCAGAGAGGAGGTCCCCCACCTCTACCAAGCTTCCGGGCCAGGAGGTAGCTCAACAGCTGGTTGTGTATCTGCTGTTCTTTTCCTGAGCATCTACTAGTTCAGTAAAACGTGATGACTGCCTGTGTTGTCAGGACTCCCAGAGAGCATGTGGCAGAAACTCAGACTGGCCATAACCCATAAAACAGAATGTGTGGATTTGTGGACTCAAATAATTTAGGTCTGGCTGGACTTGGACCCTCAGCATCAGTAGGAACACGTCTCTCTTCTATCTCTAGGCCAACTTCTCTTTCTGGGAATTCCCAGCAGCTCAGACTTCTTTCTGCCCAAGGCCCAGGCACCTCTCTGCAGGTTTCCCCCTCTCCTTTCTGAGGATTGGCTCAGACTGGTTCTGAGCAGACCAAGCCCCAACTCCTCCTTCTGACCAGGGATTTGATGCTTTGGTTGGCCAAGCCAGGATCATATTTGGATTTTGTGAACAGAGAACAGAGCTAGGGACAGGATCCACCCAAGCTGAAGTGGGACTCTGTTCTCTGAGGGGAAATGCACCCTGAAAGCCCCCTTTGTGTTGCAGAACTTGAGAATCCAGCCGAGAGGGTGCATCAGATCCAGCAAATCCTCATCACCCTGCCACGCGTGGTCATTGTGGTCATGAGATACCTCTTTGCATTCCTCAACCAGTGAGTGCCTGGCCAAGGGCCTCCTTGGCCTCTACCCTGACCTCTCTCGGGTGGGGACTCCTAGGGCTCCTGCAGTCTCTCCTGGGCTTGAATAGAGGATTTCCTCTCCAGGTGACTTATGGATGTCTCCTTTCTCCTAGCCTCTCCCAGTATAGTGACGAGAACATGATGGATCCCTACAACCTGGCCATCTGCTTTGGGCCCACGCTCATGCACATCCCCGACGGGCAGGACCCTGTGTCCTGCCAGGCACACGTCAATGAAGTCATCAAAACCATCATCATCCATCACGAAGCCATCTTCCCCAGCCCCCGGGAGCTTGAGGGACCTGTGTATGAAAAGTGCATGGCTGGAGGGGAGGAGTACTGGTAAGAGTCCTTCCTCTGAATGCTGTGATTAAGCTTGCCATTGTTGTTGACCGAGAACAGCAGGAAGCCCCTCAGCTTTCTTCCTGCTTCGGAGCCTGTTCTTCCATGAGCATTTTGTCATCTGAGCTTCGGAGCAGCCTCACGTGAGGGTCGGGTATGACAGTGAAGGCTGTGCTCGTCACAGCGGACAGAAATACAATTCAAACTGCCCGAAGCCAGACACGATGTTACTGGAAAGTTGGGGGTCATCTTCAGGCATGGCTGGATCTGGTGCTCGATCCTGCCATCTCTGCCCCTTGGCTCTGTTCTCCCTGGTACTCGTATAGCCTCTGCCTTAGATCTTGCAAGAAGATAGCCAGCAGTTCCAGCTTTACATCTGCCTGTGAGAGTCTTCAGTAGAAAAAGAGATTCTCCTTCTCAGACGTTCCAGTGTGAGCCCGAGGAGTGTTTGGGTCTGGTGAGGCCATCACACGGGGAACAGAGGTGACGCTGCCTCTGGCCAGGTTCGCTGCAGGCCCACTCAGGAAGGGAGGGGCGAGCAGCCCCTCTAAAGCTCAAGAGCCAAAATGACACTGCCACCCTGCACCCTCCCCCCTCTAAATCTCTGTCTTCAAGGCGCAGTGGGCTGGCCTTTCTCACTGTCCCCTCCAGAACCGCAGTCATTAGTTGGGAGCCCCCGTGCACCTGCTGACACTGCCAACACCCTGTCTCAGGAGAAACCTGTTAGAAGCTGTTCAAAGTCAGGGCTTCCCTAACCTCACAGTATGAAGACAGGGAAACATTTTAACATAGAATGCAGGGTTGGGAGAGTGCTGAGAATGAGAATGTGCTGTGTGTCTCAAAGCTAGCAGAAAGGAGTGTTTTTCCCATAAACCCTGACTGGCGGTTGGGGTCCGATTCAGGGGAGCATGTGCTTAGCAAATGTAAAGTCCTTGCAGTTCCTAGCACACACACACACACACACACACACACACACACACACTCACACATACAAGTTCAAGGAGATTAGGGATGTCTACACTGGTTCAAATATACATACAATGTGGACATGGTACATGTGTTGAGATAGCACATGTATTGTACTCCTTAAATATGTACTATTTTATGTTTTTGTATGTCATTTAGTTAAAAAATACCCCAGGAGAAAAAAATGCATCAAACACATGAAATTCAGCATAATACGTGAAAGGGACTGGCTGGACAGTAGCTAGTGTTTGTAATTCCCGGCCCGTGCCAGCACAGAGCTCTGTACTTAGGTCTTACCCATGCTGCTACCAGCCAGACACCTGGCGGGAGGGTTTGACTGCAGAGCATCCCTGGACTCTTGAGTTACCTACGTGTTGGGGTGGATGTGAGGAGCTGCTTCAGAGAAGGAAAGTGTGATGACCCCATTGCCCCCCCCCACCTCCCCACAAGGAAACCCTGAGGTGTGTGGGGTCTGATCACAGCTCTGTCCTCCCTGGGGGCCTCTGGAAGCAAAGATGCCTCTGCTCTGTAATGGAAGCACTCCAGGCTAGAAGCATCACTTCTATGAAAGGGAAGCCTGCTTTCCGTTTTTGTCTGTTCCAGTCCAGTACTAAAGAGCCCCTCAGACCTCAGGTCTTACCAAAGAACCATATCCAGCAATAGCACTTTTCACAATCCCATTTGCTTCCCATGAGACTGGAAATTTATTAATTATGTGGTAACTTTGGAAACGGTTTCAAAGCCAAAAACAGAGGTTTGGCTGAAGGCCTCAGCAGGGGCCAGCACGCACGCATTGGACAAACGGTCTTCGAGGGTGTGCTGTGGTCCAGGCTCCAGGCTGGGGCTTGAGGATGGAATGCTGACACAGGGCGCTGTGATGCAGCTGGAGGCAGGTGGCTCTGGGAACAGGGTGTTAGGAAGGGCTTGGAATTAGGGACTAAGGGCCAGCTCCATAAGGGGTGGGAGGAGAATATTCCAGGCTTAGAGAGCTCAGTAAGGGACGAGGAGGTCAGGGTGGCTGGTGTGCTGTGTGTGATGTGGGAATGGGAGGGACAAGGCTCCCTGGTTGGACACTGGAGTCTGGATCTGATCTAGGGGGCCATGGAGAGCTTTTCATCCTAAAGTCCCCGTCTCTGTAAATGGCGCTGTGATCGTCGCCTCCTCTGAGAAGCCTGCCCTGAGTTTTCAGGTAGACCTCCTCTGCTCTTGGTGCAGCTATTTCAGCTTGCGGCGGTGTTGTCACCTGGCCTGTGTTTGTGGGTCGTTTTCTTGTCGCCTTCTCTGGCACAGAAGCAGTGCAGCCGCAGGCCTCCCCTCCTGTCACGGAACCCTCCTGCCTAGTGCAGCAGCGAACCTTACGACTGTCAGTGGCTCAGGGACATCCTGACCCACTGACTGTGAGAGCACTGGGCCTCAGCTGTTCATAGTCTAGCTTGGGCTGTCAGGGGTGACAGAATTCCAGGACACGTCTGTGGCATGTCATGGCAGCCAAGCTGCATGCCTTGCCCAGAGGGCACAGCCCTGCCGCCCCAAACCGGGAATTGAACCCAGGGCCTCTACACTGAGCTGTCTCCTCGGCCGTTCTTATTGTTTATTTTGAGACGGGGTCTTACTAAGTTTGCCAGGCTAGTCTTGAACTTGCGATCTTCTAGTCTCTGTCTCCCACAGAGCTGGGATGAAGGCAGGTGCCGTCACACTGAGACAAGGGGCCAGGCCAGGTGAAATGACTCACAGGAACCGAAGGGTCCTTTCTGTTCTGGCCTAAGGACCTTCTGGTGCCTGATCACCGCAGTCCAGATCCTACTACAGAACAGGCAAGCGTCATCTAAGTCCGTTGTCTGTTTCTGTAGCAGAAAACCTGAGGATGAGTCACTTACAGTACACAGAAATGTGTACGAATCACGGTTCTGGAAACCTAAGTTTGGTGCCAGCATTTATGCTGCATTACCCCCTGGCACAGGCAGAAGGGCAAAAAGCCGAGAGAGAGAGTGACAGGGGTCAGGTCAGACTTGCTCGGTAACAGCCCATTCTCATGCAGCTAATCCACTGCCATGATAAACACATCAATCCCTCCATGAGAGCAGAGCCACCTCCCAACCTGGTGTGTTGGGGACAAAGTTTCTAACACATGACCTTTGGGGGACACATCCAAAGCATGAACCATCTTCACCAAGATGACACCCCCAGCAAATTCCAGGGCCAGGAGGGAGCGAGGGAGGCCCCAGAGTGGAGTCTGATTAGAAGATCTGAGCAGGCAGACAGAAAGTTAGACAGATGTGAGCCTGGCCAGCTCCGGGTGAGGGCCTCTGGAAACCAAGAGCACCAGGGCAGCCAGCCTCTACTGAGTCCCTTCCCTGTGTTTCCTTGCAGTGACAGCCCACACAGCGAGCCAGGGACCATTGATGAAGTTGACCATGACAATGGCACGGAGCCTCACACTAGTGATGAAGGTGAGTATGGGGAGCCAGGCCAGGGGCCTCACCCGAGGGCCCCTGTGTGGCCTCCTGGGCTGGGCCTCCAGCCTGCTATACCTGCACAATCATCCTTCAGAAGAGGTGGGGGTCCAGAGAACTCCTCTCGTTGCATGCCCCAGGCCCTGATGCCAAGCAGGTCCTCACCACAGTCCACACCTGACCTGCATCCAGGTCAGGCCCAGGTGCAAATCCTAAAGGACAAAAGTGTCAGGTAGGAAACACCCACTGTCTCTCTCCTGGAGGATCCCCCTGGGAGCTGAGACATGGCGATGAGTGAGGCAGGTCCTCAAGGAGTTCCCAGCCTGTCACAAGACCTTGATGAATTGCAAGAAGCTCCTCACGGTGCAGAGTGGCAGTGCCAGGTATCAGGTGCCACCCCAGCATGAAGCCCAGCGGGAAAGCGTCAGACAGTATATGGCAAAAGACGAGTAAGGCTTTGAGGTAGCTGCCCATCCTGCCACCCCTGGAGACAAAGAAAGAGGGTTGATTTGCCTCCAAGGTTTCTGGACTGCACAGACAGCACTCGGAGGACATGGGCTCTGGCCAGTTTACCCTCTTGGTAAGCTGGCCCAGAATGTCTTAGGGATCCACTGGAGTATTTTAATTTCTTTGAAATACAGAATAAATAATATGATATTCCATCTGGATTATACTTGTTCTTATGCTAATTCAGTTGGAAAGTATAACTTTGAATTTATTCTTTTAACAGACAAAGGCTGGTTAAGCGGCAGGATCCACAGCAGTCAGACAGGGACTAAGGTTGCTTCCTGTCTGCATGTCAGGTTTTAGTTTTGTTAGTTTTTTTTTTTTTTTTTCAGTAGTGGAGATGGAACCCGGAGAAGCTCTCCCACCGAGCTATACCCTCAGCCTTTTCAGTTTTTATTTTGAATCAAGGTCTCGTTAAGTTGGCCAGACTAGACTTGAATTTAGAATCCTCCAACCTCAGCCTTCTGAGGAGCTTCTATTATAGGTATGCACCCTGCACCTGTCTTGTAATTTTACTTAAAAAAAACAACAACATTGCTTAGAATGCTGGGCACCTGCAGTCCCAGCACTCTGGGAGGCTCAGGTAGGAGGATCACAGATTCAAGCCCAGTCTGGGCAACTTAAATGACACCCTCCCTCAAAATTTAAAATAAAAAAAAGTAAAATGTCTAGGGTTGTAGCTGAGTAAAACGTTCCAGTGATTCAATCCCAGAACCCTAAAAAAAAAAAAAAAAAATACAAACAAGAAAAATGAAAAGCACTCCAAAGATTATTACTACTTGGAAGTTCCTTTACTTGGCGTCTGTGCTTTCCCTATGGGCCCATCCCAGGCTCTTGTTGGCAGACGTGTTTGTCAGAAGAGCTTAGTATATACTCATATTAAGTTTCTGGGCTGGAAAAAGATAAGACTTATGGGTTTTCACTTTTTCAGTAGGACTGTTTTAGTTGCTAATGTCAGAACCCTCAACTCAGATGGACATGAGCACAGAAGGTGTTCAGCTCATACCTGCAGTCCCACGGGAGTGGACTTCAGGCACAGCTTGATTCAGGAGCACAGAGGATATTGTCAGGACGTGGGGTGCCTCTTCCTGCTTTCTTCCCTGCTAGTTTTGTTCTCACATGGAATCTCCCTGTGGAGGGCTCTGGGGCAGTTTCAGGCTTTCACTGTTCCTTTCACCGAAAGCCTCGTTGGAAAACAGCTTTCTTTTCATAATGGTTTCATGAAACGCTCTGGGGAAGTTTCCTTAGATTGCCTTAGGTTGCACCCCCAGGCATGAGTTCATCACTAGGCCAGAGGGGGAATTGGGTCACAGAAAGCAAACCCAGACGTCCAGTTTCACCAGAACCTAGGCTGGAGTTGTCCTGAACTGTCTTTGGATTTTGTTGGCTTTCCCTGTTTTTCTATCTTATCTCATTAGACTCTGCTTCGTTCCTCTTGTGTGGTGTCGGTTTCGTTGGTACCTCTTTTTTTTTTTTCAGAATCTTAATGCAGAAGTGCATGTTATTGCTTTGCGACATTGTTTCTCAGTACAGGCGTTTATGGCCATAACTTCCCTCTAAGCTTAAGTACATTGTGTCCTCATTTTTATTCATCACAGGTACTTGTGTTCTCTGTTTTTATGGTTAAAGATGGTCACTTATGTTCAACCTGAAAAAGTCTTAGTATTTATGTATGATAGTCTTAATAGTGGCAAATTTTCTGGTTTTTAAAACTTGGATCATACTTTCATTATATTTTTGAAAGATAGTTTTACTCTTCTAGAAGCATCTTACTTCAAGCACTTTGACCATGATATTCCAACACCTTCCGGCATCCATAGTTTCTGCCAGGCAGTCGGCTGTTGATCTTACCAAAGTGTTTCTTTCTCTTGCTGATGTGCAGACTGTATCCTTGTACCTGACTTTCGCTGTTCTTACTGTAATTTGTCTATTTGTCGCTCTCTTACATTTATTCTACTTGGAGTTCACTGAGTTTTCTGTCTGTTCTGAGTCTCGTTGCTGGTTTTTAGTAAACTTGTGAAATTCTTAGTCGTATTTCTTCTTTTATTTCTACCTTATTGCCTCTAATTTCGTTTTTGGTATTCATTATACATATGACAGTACACCTAGTAGTGCCTGAGTTTCTTAGACCTGTCAAGTCTTTTGTTGTGCCCTTTGTAAATTTGTTTATTTCAGTTGTACTTTATAATTCTATATCTGAGGTTTAGAAAAAGACTAGGTTGGTAAGGTCACACAAGTCATAAGTAAGAAAGTCAGGTGTTATAATCTTAACTACATGATGGACAAGTAGATGAATGGAGACAAGATCATTCAGATAGTCTCAAGAAGGTCAGCATTTAGAAGGTGTCTTCAGGCTATAGACAGCAGGGCTTTTTTTAAAAAAATCTCTTTTGTCTGTTAAAAAAAAGTCCAGCATGGTAGTAGATGCCTGCAATTCCCACTACTTGGGAAGCTGAGGCAAGAGAGTCACAAATTTGAGTCCAGCCTGGATAACTAAGTGAGACCCATCTGAAAAATAAAACTCAAAGAAAACAGGGCCAAAGATGTGGCTTAATGGTAGAATACTTGCTTACCATGTGCAGGGGCCTGGGTTCAATCTCCAGCACTGCAAATAAAAATTAATTAACAATGAAATATCTTTGTGCTTGCCTTAAAATATAAATTTTTTAAGCAAGCATGAGCATTTGTTAAGGTACAGACTATGACACAATTTAAATAAATAGTAGACACCATCCCTCTGCTCTCCCAAAAGTGTCTTTCCCAAATATCACCAGCTGTGTGGTTTTACACATATCATTAAAGCCTTCGGGCACCTGGGTTTCTTCTCTGGTCCTCTCCAGCAGTCTAAGCCCACTAGTGATTATAATTACAGTTGTGACATTCACTGTCAGCTGAGAACTGGAAGTCCAAGATCAGGGTGCTATATCAGAGTTGACTTGGGTGCGGGGCCCTTCCTTGCCTGTAGATAAGTGCTTTCTCGTTCTGTCCGAGCAGGGAAAGACATCTTCGTGTTTCACTTCATCTTCTTATAAGGATGCCAGTCCTATTGGATTAAAGCCTTACAATGTATTCACCAGCACTTCAAGTACCTTAACTGAACTAAAGACTTTGTCTCCAACTACAATCACACTGGGTATTCGGGCTTCCACATGTCAATGTTGAGTGGGACACAACTCAGTCCATCACAACGAGCTTGAGGATTCTGGGAAGCTTAGAAGTTATGTGTCACATTTTGTACACTCACCATCTTTTTGACCTCTCAAAATATTAAGAACGATCAGAATTATGGGAAGGAAAGGCAAGAGAAGGGATGGGAAGGAAGGAAAGGGCTCATGGGAAAACAGAGTTAGAACTTACGATAAGGCGTAAAAGAAAAAGAAATCTCTTCAAATATTGTCTTAATGAGTGCTAAAAAGTTGAGAGCAATAGGGGCAATGGAAAATAGGAATCTGGTATATTTGTTCCTTGTGGACATTTTGAGAAATTAGATGACTGACCTTAGGTCACACGGTGGGGAGATCCGAGCCTGGAACCCCAGTGACCCTAGTAGATGTTTTTACCAGGCACAGCACCTGTCCTGCCCACAGAGGCAGGCATCCCAGTGAGCCTCCTGGGCTGTCCCTGTGCTGACGTGTGGATGCTCTTTCTCTCGTTTTCCTTCCAGAAGTGGAGCAGATCGAAGCCATTGCCAAGTTTGATTACGTGGGGCGGTCCCCACGTGAGCTGTCCTTCAAGAAGGGAGCCTCGCTGCTCCTGTACCACCGCGCCTCGGAGGACTGGTGGGAGGGCCGGCACAACGGCGTGGACGGACTCATCCCTCATCAGTACATAGTTGTACAGGACATGTGAGTGGGAGCTGCAGACCTTCTGTGACGAGAGCAGTGATATATTGGTGCTGTCTGCAGTACACTGGAAGGGTTGTATATGCTGGCATAATAGACTTGATGGATCTAAGAATGGGTTAGATCCTACTTCCCTCTAAATGGTAATCCACTTAGCAAATATGCAAATTTCTGCTCCTTAGAGCACATGGTGACATGTGTGGTGCTCCTGGCTGGCCATCCTGGTCCACCAGACAGCTTTCTGGACCTTGCTCACCCCCATGGTTCATAATGTCCAGTGGCTCTGGCCATATCTCTTCTCCTGTCTTCTCCTAACCAGTGACCAGCCCACTCCCCCTTTGCTGCCCAGTATCTCTACTGACAGCTCCCTCTCAATGGGATGGACAGAAACAAGCATGTCTTTGTATAATTATAATTTCAAGGGTTAAAGAAGTCCCACACTCCAAGTACCTAGCCCTTAGCAAGTCTACATTTTCCATCCCTTTGAGCCACCAAAGTTTCCCTCCTGTATATACATTCCCTGCAAACTCTAGTCAGGTGCAAGGAAATTATTAATCATGGAAGCAGCCACAAGCTAAACCTCATAACCTCATAACCTATGTTTTTATGGAAGAGAAGGTCCAAGCCAGAAAAAAAGCCAGGACCAGACGAATGCTAAGAGGAATGCTGTAGTGGAGGACCATCAGCACCCTCTGATGTCCCCAGGTCCCTGAGGGCAGAGTATGTCCCTGCGGGGAAGAGGGCTATGGAAAGAGGTTGGCAGAGTCCCCTAGGAACTCGAGCCCCTCACAGTTATTTTGCATTGTGGATGGGGAGCTGAGTGAGCCCTGAATCACTTCTGTAGCCACACGGAGACCCGGATATCTGGCATTCCCTTTGCTCAGTGTACAGCCACCTCCAGCTTCACCAGCACCCCCTGCAGCTCTTAGTCTGGCTTAGTTATGGGCACAGACTTGGACAGAAAAACAAGCAAGAGCTGGGGAGAGGGGAGCTGGGTATGGATAAGCCCTGCCGGGGAAGCTTCGGAGCACAGTGTTGGGTGTGCATGGGACAGCGTAGGCCGCAGAGACCACTGGCACAGGTGTATGTTGACTCTGCTCCTCAGACACTTGGTGAGGAGCCTGTGCACCCTGCGTCCTCTACAGGGAGCATCCTCCATGTCATGTCTTTCTTCTCCAGGGACGATGCCTTTTCTGACAGCTTGAGCCAAAAGGCTGACAGCGAGGCCAGCAGTGGGCCACTGCTGGACGACAAGGCCTCCTCCAAGAACGACCTCCAGTCCCCCACGGAGCACATCTCAGACTACGGCTTTGGGGGGGTGATGGGCCGGTAGGAAGCACTGGTTTATTTTATTGCAACTGTTTGTGTCTTAAATTGGGAGATATAAGAGGGCAGGAGAGAGGAGGCTGTTGCTGTTCCTTGTTCCCACAGGATGGGATCTTAGGTGCAGCTAGGCAGCCTGGCTGGGGTGACTCAGGAGCACCAGGAACAAAACCAACCAGCTTTGGGTACAGGGTCGAGGAGGTGGAGGAAAGGCATGCATTGGGAACCTGGTACTGCCTCTTTAAAATAATAATAATGAGAGGGACCCAGGGAGAGAAACTGGCAAAGATTTTGCTCCCTCTCCCCTTTCCTGCACCTCCGCTCAAGTGGCCACTGAAGGCCTCCACCGTGGCCCAGGATTTTTAGTGTAAAGCTCTCACACCCCTGAGGAACACCCTATAAACAGGAAGCCCACACTTACTGCACAACCGTTACCAGCAAGGGGCTGCCCTGTCCTTCTGCGAACAGGTATAGTCCCAGCATGTGATTGTCAAAGATAATATAAGCAAAGACAAGGAGAAAGGGGAGGAATTGAGTTACCCCACACTTTCCCTGGACTCTCAGAATGTCTCACCTTCTCGGTGCAGTGGCCACATCTCTAATCCTAGCCTGGGAGACTGAAACGGGAGGATAGCACCTTTCAGCTCTTCTTGGGCAACTTACTGGTCTAGAGACCCCTTCTCAACAACACCCACAACAAAAAAGTCACTTGCCAGGTTTTTCTCTAGTAGAAGGGCTGTATGGTTGACTTACATATGCAAGTCTTTGCAGACAGAGCCAAAGAAGCAGTCACGGTGGGAGCACATGTTTACAAGTTCATTTCAGCTGAGGTCGTGATGCATCTTTCCAGCGTCCTCTATTTATCTCCTTAAAGAGCAGGACATCGTGATGATGACAGAGCTGAGAGGGTCAGGAAGCAGAAGGCCGGGGTCGGGGAAGACCAGCGCCACAGCCCCGGGCCCCTGAAAGGCCGTCTCTTCTCCTGCCTCTCTTTTCCTTTCCCTCCTCCCTGCTCGTCTCCTTCCTTTGGGCTCTTTCCTGCTCAGTGCTTCTTCCTTTGGTACTTCTGCTTCAGTCCTGCGGGGCATCTACAGGGCCTGCTCGGCTTGGCTGCACCGCAGGGCCTGAAGCATGGCTGGCCTCAGTGAAGGCAGTCTCTACTCACAGGGCTCCCAGCACACTGTCCCCACCCCCACTGCAGCCCGCCACCCCTCCCTTCTCCCTTCCTCCCACCTCACCAGGGCCTCTGTGAGTACTGCAGGATCTGTTATCTTCAGGGTACATTCAGACTCACTGAAAATGGCAAGGGACGTCACACCCATCAAGCAGATGAACAAAGTGATCTGAGCTGGAGCTCAGGGGAGCACACACAGACACAGATATACACTTCAGCACTTGTCACACCCACAGGGGCTCCCTGAGGCGGGACAGGAATCCAGATGCAGGAAAGATGCATCCACAGTGCAATGACTACTCTGACAGGATTAGTTTTCCAAGATCAGCAAAGCCTTATGGGTACAGCCCTGTGCTGGGGAAGTTGGGGCTGGGTAGCATCAGTGCACGGGCCTCCATCCACAAGGGCCCCTTCAGTGCTTGCATGGGGCTGGCGACTCTTGGTACAGTCAAGCCTCAATGCTTCAGACCTGCTAGAAGCCCATTGGAACTGTGGAAAGGTCTCAAAAGCTTCAGGACATACTATGACCCCAACTAAATGCCAACCAAAGCATTTTTAGGCTGAAATCCTCCTGGCTTTGACCGAGTATGCAGATGAGATCGGTTTTCTGGTCAGCATTGCTGCTGTCTGCAGGTTGGGAGCACTGTGCTCCACCTCCTGTGCTCTGTTTTTCCTGAGCAGCTCCTTTGCTGGCCAGCTGTGCAGTCTGACCATGAGGCTTCACTATACCCACCCCAGAGCAGTGTGTGGCGTGTGGCACGGGCATTGACCAACCCTTGCTAAGACTGACCAGGGTTGACTCCTGCCTCTGCCCCTGCCCCTGGATCCTTTGCAGAGTGCGATTACGATCAGATGGAGCGGCCATCCCCAGGCGACGAAGCGGGGGCGACACACACAGTCCACCCCGAGGCCTGGGCCCCAGCATAGACACGCCACCCCGGGCTGCTGCCTGCCCCAGCAGCCCCCACAAAATCCCCCTCAGCCGAGGGCGGATGGAGAGCCCTGAGAAGAGGAGGATGGCAACGTTTGGGAGCGCTGGCAGCATCAACTACCCCGACAAGAAGGCTCTCTCAGAAGGGCACTCCATGCGATCGACCTGCGGTTCCACCCGGCACAGCAGTCTGGGGGACCACAAGTCCCTGGAGGCTGAGGCCCTTGCAGAAGTAAGGGCCAGAGGGAAGGCAGCCAGGCTGGCTGAGCCTCAAGGGGCAGTGGGTGGGACTCACAAGAGGGGCACCCCCATAGTCTCTGACAGTCTTGAGGCTAAACCAGAGGCTGAGAGCGAGCTGGCTTTTCCTCCCTTTTGCTGGGCCTCCCCCTGAGGATGGAAGCCAGCTGGGTGCCACCCCTTGCTAGAGTTTCTACAAGGCTGAAAAAAGCCCCTGGTGTCCAGGGCTAGAGAAGGGACTGCCTGGGTTATGGACAGGCAATGGCAAATCTCTCCTCGAAATAGCCTGATTGAGTCTGTCCGTCCATCCATCCATCCATCCACCCACCCATCCATCCCAGTCACCCATCCATCCATGTTTCATTCATTCTTCTGTGCATTTATGGTCAAACACTGGTTGAGCATCTGTGGGTGACACTCATAACATTAGGCATTAAGGTACAGTGAAGCCCTAAAACAGATGTCAGTCCACATGGAACGAATTCCTTACAGAAGAGAGAGAGCTGATAATCAGTAAACACACACAACTCTGAGCTGCTGGCTGGGCCAGTTGTCTTTTGGGGGCTGTCATGATATTTTGAGAGCTTGAAATGTGGGAACTACAACCAGGCAGGGCAAGGTCCCTGGGAAGTTGTGACCTGAACCACAGTGGATGGAAGGAGTCAGTAGCTGGGGCTGAGCTCTGTGTGGGTGAGAGATCCGCGGGCTTTGTGTTTGTGGTGACTGCACAGAGCAGTGACGTGTTAAACAGTTTGCATCATGGGTTTCACAGATATTTTTGGAAGTCCTAGAGTTCCTGTTTTCTTTCTGAAATTTAGGGTAGGAATCGCCTCCTCAGGGTTACAGCCTACTAAACATCTAATAACCAGAGCTAGGGGTCTGGTGCAGAGACGTTAAGACAGAAGGATCCTAAGTTCAAACCCAGCCTGAGGCCCTTAGTGACATATGAGGTCTTGTCTCAAAACCATAAAATAAAAACAGGTATGAGAGTGTTGGTCAGTGCAAAGGCCCTGGGTTCAATTCCTAGTACCACACCAAGAAAAGGAACAACAAGGACTGGAGGTCAGCATCACAAAAATATGACAAGGGCCGACAACCAGACTGGCAGAGCCTCGTGGCCGTGAGGACTCTGCTGGGGAGAGCAGCGTCTGCATCCTGTTTGGAAGACGAAGAGGGACTGTGAAACGTCCAGAGAGGCTGTGAGGCCTCTCCTAACACTCCTGCTCACACCTCAGGCCCAGTTTGGTCCCACGTCCTGGTGCTCAGTCCCAGGGGTCCCTGCAACCAGTGCCTTGGCAGGAGTCGAGCAGAGGCAGAGGGCAGCTTGCGCCTCTGTCCTTGAAGTCTGACTTTTGGGAAGGTCACCGAGCATCCACCTCACCCTGAAACACTCCCAGTCCTGTGGGGGCGTGGCCCCGAGCCTGGCCCAGTGTCTTTGTGTAGAGTGAAACACACTGTTTCCAAAAGCAGGTGCCACCACAGACCATTCGGTGGGCTGTGCGTGGAGAAAGCAGGAAGGGGGCCCGGGGAACTAAGTTTGCGGGGTGCTGGTCTGACATGGACGAAGGGTCTACCTGCAGGAGGTGTTAGAGTCTTGAACTGAGTCCATGTATGTGGATGGATCACCACTAATTGGAACAAGGCCCAGCCTACATCACAGGCATCACTGACCTTTGTTCACTGCCAAATACATGGTGTGCCAGGATGCAGGTGTGCACATCTGCTGCAGTGTGATGGCTGCCTCTCAAGACCTCCTCTCACTGATGGAAACAAAATAAGAATTTATGGTGAACAATATGCAAAAAGCCAGGAGGACGCTGGACAACCAGCACCCTGCTCTGCACGAGTCCTGACATGTGATGTTACACACTACAAGCTGGAGGGGAATCTCTAGTAGGGAGTGGCCCTGCATTCTCTGGTCTTGATAAGTCCTTTAGGATTTAGAGTTGCGCCTCTGTCCTTGAAGGCTGACTTTTGGGAAGGTCACCGAGCATGGTGAAGAGACTGTTTTGGGAATAGTTGATGTTATCATCAAAAGTAGGAAGCACTGCCTTGGGACAAGTGACATCTTCTCCACCCTCTCCTCTGTCCCTGGTGCCTCTCTGCAGCTCCACCTGGAGACTCAAGCCTCAGGACTCAGATTAATGCCTGGCTCCAGCCTCAACACCTCGGCTCCCTTTTTCTGAGCTTTCTGTCTTTCTAGTTCACACTCTGGGGGAAGAACGTGGTGGAGGAGTGCGGCAGAGGGGCCACAGCCACATTTTATTTGTTGACAGCTCCGCTCCTGCTGGGTTAAAGCCAACAGGGAGAGTGATGCGGGCAAGATGGAACTCTAGCGGAGTGGGCGATGCTCAGCTCAGGGAAGGCAGGCCAAGGCCCTGTGCGGTGGCGGGGGGATGCAGCTCACAGGCAGAGAGTTCCTTTCTCCCTTCCTGCAGAGAAAGCCAGCACTGATTCTGGTGGATAAAGACCCCCCTCACCTGCTGGGTGTGGAGAAGTCCCTGGACCATAGTGGCCGAGGACTCTAGGGTGACCAGGAGTTGGAACACCACTGTCTGCAGTTGGCAAAGCTTCTTCACAGTCAGTGTCTCATTCCGTCTGGATGGGCAATGTGAGCTTCGCAATGGGCAGGTGTCACAGCTCCTGGCTTGCTACCGTCCTTCACCTCCAGCCCTGCAGTGGGCGTGGGGCTCAGCTGCCGGGGAGCTGCCCAGTGGGCACAGCCTGCGCTGGCCCAGGCGCTGCCCAAGTCTCTCCGCTGCTCTTACTTCCTTTGCTCTCAGGAGCACAGCGCTCTCCAGGAGGAAATATGCAGGAGGGGTTTGCAGCTTTAAAACCTTCCACGTTTAACAGAATGAACATACAGAGAGGAAAAGTGGCAGCAGTCTCACCACTCTAGGATGGACGCTGTGAACATTCTGATATATGACTGAATAATTATTCTGTGGGCAAGGATCTTTTCCTGAATTTTATTTATTTATTCCTTTTTCCTTTAATTTACAAAATTGACCTGTAATTGTACAAATTTATGAGGTACAATGTGAAGTTTCAAGACATTTACACTAGTGCAATAACGAAGGATGCTCAAGAATAGCATCCGGTAGGGCAGGGGCTCTGGAGCCAGGTTCTCTGCGTTCAGACTTGCACTTTCTAGTCATTAGCTGTGTGACCTGGCAAGTTACTTGTCCATCTGAGTTTTAGTTTCCTCCTTTGTGAAAGGTGTATAATGGTAGTTCCTAGCTTATAAGTCTGAGATGACACGAATTATTAGCAGAAAGGATTTGAGTTGGTATTCGGTGGTAGGGATTGTTATTGTGGTTGGCACTGTTATTTTGAGTATGTATTGTGTGTCTCAGTTGTCAAACCAAGACCTTTGCAGGAATCATCTCTTTGAATCCATTCATGAACCTCTGAGGTCAGCCTTGTAATTAGCTGTAACTTGCAAGTGAGTATCTGAGGCTTAGGGAGGTCAGGTAACATGCCCATGTCACCTAACAAGGAAGTGAAGGTACCAGAATTTGAACTCCTGTACATTTCACTGCAGAGCCTGCCGTCCTGCAAGCCTGATCTGCCTCTGTCAGGGTGCTTTCCTGGGCAGGGCCCTGTGCTTCCGACTCCTGCCTGACTCATTTAAGCTGGCCATGGCAGCACACACGCCTGTCATCCCAGCTGCTTGGGAGTCTGAGGCAGGAGGGTCGTAAGTTTGAGCCCACCCTGGGCAACCAGCAACTTAGTGAGACCTTGTCTCAAAAAGAAAAAAAAGGGTGGGGAGGGTGGGAGGGTGGAGTGGGAGGGTGCAGCTCAGTAATAGAGTACTTTCCATGCTGAGTTCAGTCCACAGTATTGCGAGGAAAAAAAAAAGATTCTCCCACTTGGTGATAAGATTCCCGGGCCAGGGGACTCCTGGGGAAGCCTTTTCAAGCACTCCCACTGCTGGTCAGCAGGCGAGAAGGACGGGCTCTGGGCGGGTAGACTGTGCTGACCAGAGTTCTCTCTGCCCCTAGGACATTGAGAAGACCATGAGCACAGCTCTGCATGAGTTGCGGGAACTTGAGAGGCAGAACACAGTGAAGCAGGCACCGGATGTGGTGCTGGACACCCTGGAGCCCCTGAAGAACCCAGCAGGCCCCGTCAGCTCGGAGCCTGCCAGCCCTCTGCACACCATTGTCATCCGAGACCCCGACGCTGCCATGCGCCGCAGCAGCAGCTCCTCCACCGAGATGATGACCACTTTCAAGCCTGCCCTATCTGCCCGCCTGGCCAGCGCCCAGCTGCGCCCTCCCCCCATGCGGCCAGTGAGGCCAGTGGTCCAGCATCGGTCCAGCAGCAGCAGCAGCTCAGGCGTGGGCAGCCCCGCTGTGACGCCCACCGAGAAGATGTTCCCCAACAGTGCCACGGACAAGTCGGGCACCATGTGACCTGGTGGGGGAGCAGCAGTGCCCTCGCTTACTGTGGTACACCACGGCTTAGGGCAGCTTTGGTGGCTGTCGCTGGCTTCCCAGCGATCCTGGCCTTGGAGGGCAGAGCCGGAGATGTCAGCCTGATAGAGCACATATCAGTGGAGGGCAGAGGCCCAGGCGTCAGCTGCAGCTCACAGTCAGCCATGTGAATCCACAGACCTCCTGTGTGCAGACAGACACCCCAAGGAGTACTAGGGCAAGAGCACCCCAAGTACAGCTCCCCAGCTTGAGGTGGATGCTAGAGGGTGTCTTGGCGTGCCGTCCGTCACTGGAAGTGTAGTCTCTCGATAGTCACTCTACATACGTGTATATGTGTGTGTATATACGTGTGCATATATATGCATATATACGTATGCATGTGTCTGTAAGTGTGTGTGTGTATATATATATTTATGCATCTATATACATATACCAGATCTGGACATACACACATGCTAAATGTATATAGTATTTCCTTTTTCTTTTTATGAAACTTAGATTTACCTCAGACCCATGCCACCAAACATGCCCCGCTGAGTTATTTGGTGGGATTTGCAGGGACTTCTCTGGGAGGACTTAGAGGCCCCACCGTAACTGCTAATGAAGCAATATACCACTAACCTGCAGAAACACAGTCTCCCACCGTCTCCACAAGTCGTGGCCTTCCAGAACAGTCTGCCCCTCCTGGAAGAGTGGGGCAGGCAGCACCCTAAGCAGGCTGCTCCCAGAAGTGGGGAACCCTCCACAGAAAACCCTTGGTTTACCCAGAGAACTCGCCCCACCACCCAGACTCCAAGGGCCAACTGCACCCCGAAGGCACGGGAAGAGGTTGGGGAGAAGAGCCCTAACCACCGTGCCCTCGTTTTCCCGTAGAACAGGAAGAACCTGAGCCCCATCAGAGCACAGTGGTCGGGAAAAAGAAGGGAAGAAGAAAAGCAAAATACCGTGGCGTGGAATACTTCCAACCCTAGAAATGCCGTAGGAATAAATCTGTGGTAACTGTAGAGGTTTAACTTATATCACCTTCAAAATACTTAATTTTTCTTTACCTTGTTCTACTAATTATACTGTGTCAGACTTGGAACTAAACAGGCAAGGAGGCTTTGAGTTGCATTGTTTTCATTTGAAACCGAGCATGATGCCCTTTGGCCCTTGCCCTTCTGCATGTAGCTCCTGAGCCCTAAGTACCCAGCTGGGACCCGATGCCGCGGAGGGGTGACCCTGGGCCTCTCTGTGCCAGAGAAGGCCGCTGGCTGAGTTTCCACGGTGCGGAAGCTTCCTGCCCTCCCTCCCCTCCGTTTCATCCACTTGCTTTGGAGCATTGACTGTAGATGAAAACACAGTGATAGACACAGAGGCATGATCTTCGAGTAAAATGAGCGAGATTTTTGCCTCTTGGCTGTGAGAGGGCCTGCCAAGTTGCTCTCATTTGATTCCATTGTACCTCCTTTTCTGATCTCTCTCTTTTTTGGAGAATGGGACCCAGATAAATCTGAGCCTACTGGGACCGCTTTCATTTAGCTTCTCCTACGGAGCCTAGATCTCTTCCCTGTCATTCTCAGCACCTCCTCCTCCGCACCTCGGGACCTCTGAGGTGTGGAGTCCCAAGTCCCAGCCCCGTTCACCCAGGAGCTGTGTGACTTTGGGTGACTCCCTACACCTCATGGAGCCTCACTTTTCTTTCCCATTAAATGAACCTAACAAAGATTAGATGGAAGCAAGCCAGCTGGGTAGCGTGGAAAGCCTTGTGCCACCTTGATCGCAGTGCTATCATTAGGAAGGTGAGTCTTTCAGCTCTGGAACCGTCTAGACCTTCTTGTGAGCAATGAGCCATGGAATCTTCCTACCAATTTGCTCAAAGGGCCAAGTCCAGCCCCGCAGGTGCTTGACATGCCCTCCATGTGGTTAGGGTTTACCCTCTCCTCTAGTCCACTGGAAGGTAAACACACCTGAGGGAGACGCCTCATGAGCCTTGGTGCCTGGGTGTGGGAGTGGAAAGCCATCCTCCTCCACTGGAGAGCTGGCACTGGGCACACACAGTGGAGGGAGGGCTCAGGGGAGGGCACAGATGAGGGTGCCAGGGAGAGCCTAAGGATGGACATGACCCCTTTGCTTTGCTTTGACCTCCTGGACCTGAAAGGCCCTCTGCCTGTGAGCACAGAAAGGTGTCCCCATGTCCAGAGAGAAGGCCTGGAGCCTACCCACAGTGGACAGGTGGCTGAGAGGCTGGGCTGTGCTCTCCAGCCAGACACAGGCTTCTGGTTTCCACCCTAGAGATACACCCAGGCTTGGAGTCCAGTCATCCCCTAGGTGACATTCTGCCATAGATAATCAGAAGAAAAGTCAAAATCTGAGTAGACAAATGTGTTTCATGACATGCATAACGATAGGTCAGCTGTGCGGACCTTTTTCTGACTTGACTGATTTTGGTTTTCCTCTCTGACAGTGGACCTTGTTTTCCAGAAATACCTGAGAGCAGAGCCTTAGATCTTTTCTCTAGGCACCTATTTTCTTTCCATTGGGAATGGCTGATGAGTCCACACTGCAGGGCGTGTGCTCACCGACCGCAGACATCTCCCCACGGTCCAGCTCCCAGCCCAAGAAAATTGAGAATCAAGAATCGGAGCCTTGGGGCGAGCAGTGGAAAGCTGCTCTCCCCTGCAGGGTGCTCTGCATGTCTCCACCCATCACGATCACCACCCCACCACACCCACAGAGCGTTGGCAGTCTCTTCCGGGTTCCTGCCTGTTTTAGTCCACTCTATAGTGCTGTATTTGCTTAAATGCTGGAAAGTGTTAAAATGTGAAAGTGTAATATTTTAAAGGCTACGATTAAATTATAGCCACTTACCAGATCTTTGCACCTAGTAGATAGATCAATGTAAAAACAAATACCAGAAACCTAACTGTACAGTGAGTGTGGGAGAAATGTAGTAACCTAGTTAGTAGTCCTAAATATAAGCAATTGTACAAGAGGAAGTGTTTACTACTTGTTCATCAACATTATTGAAAGCTGTACTGATCAGCTAGTTGATTACAGGCATTTTTGTGTGGGGGCTTCACACAATGATTTCTTAACCTTCAATTTATCCCCAGGTCAAGCCTTTGTCTTTCTGTATAACCGATGTTCAGTCTGTCTTAGGAATGAACCAGCAAGATGTTCATTTAAAATTGACCAAAGACGATTAATTCCTGGTCTAGTTTCCTGGGCCTCGTGGCCAGCTGCCACTACAGACCTTTCTGAAATAAAATTGAGGACAAGCTGTGCTTCCACCCCGCCCGCCCGGCCCTTCCCCACTTCTCTTTCCTCTTACAGTGCTGCTCTGAACTGTGGGATTCTATGAAAAATTCTTGCCTTTCCTTGTTTTCAGTGCTAACGATTTCTCACCTTGAAGCGCCTTTTGAACCCTGGGCAGAGCACACAATCTGAGGGAATTGTGGGCTTGGGAATTAGACTCGGGAGTCTTTTCTCTGAAGTCATCAGGGGCCAGGAGAGACACGGACTCCCAAGGGACGGAAGGTTCCTACTGGTGAAGACCTTGGATTGGGAAGAGACACAGGGAAACGTAGCCATGCTTCGGCTACTGGCTGGAACCAGCAGTTCAGAGATCTGCCTTACAAACACTTCAAACTGGCTTCGGTACCCAAAAAGGGAGCTGGTGTGGGGCCAGACTCCCTGCCCCCCTGGCCTCCTTGGAGTGCCTGTGTGGGTATCTCTCTCATTCAGGAGCCTGGACGCGTGCAGAGGACTTCTCGTGACCTGGTCACCCACACGGAGACCACCAGGACTAACACTAAAGTCCTCTTCTCAGTCTCTCTGCCCCTCACGTTTCATATCAGATGGTTCCACGTAAAGCGAAGGCCTCCTTCTCCTGAGGAGCCCAGTGAGAGCCTGCTTGCAGCCATGGTGCTGGCCCCCAGGAAGGGAGGGGGAAAAGCGGAGGGGAGGGGAGGGAAGGCAAGGCAGAAAGGGACCAGTGGGTGTCGCCTGGCTGATTTCTGCTGTGCAGAGCGAATGTGACACTTCATGTCAACTTTCCCCAGCTCTCTGGGGCCTCCTGTCTTCTGAACAGCCATGTAGAGAATTCCCCACACATCCAAAGCTGCCCGGGGAACCGAGAAAGGGACTTTAGCTGTCCCCTCCGAGGTGGACCTGCCGGGGTCCCACCGTCCCGTCCTCTGGGATGGCCCAGCGTTGCCCCTAGCTGACACCTCCTGTCTGCGAACTGTCCCAGGCAAATAACAAAGCTGTTCCTTAAACCCGAACAAGCCGAGTGCACTTTCCCTTCCTTAGACAGAAGCCGACCCTGGCGGAGTTCTGCTCAGGCTCACGTTCCCGGCAGAGTGGCCGTTTACATGGTTGGCAGTGGGTTTGGTTCTGATTGCTTCAGAGTGGCTGCTATATTTTGTTTCCTTAGGTTTTCTTCCTCCCCAAATTGTGACAGGAAAAACAAACTGAAACCACCCTAGGAAACTGCTGGTTGCCTGTCCCCACGTGATAAGTGTCACCTCGTCTGGTATTGTCCCTCTTCCTCCCGACCAAACACCGCCACCCGCCCGTCCCCCTGTAGAGTGTCTGATCCCATCCTCTGTTGCGTATTCTGATGGTGCCTGCTGGTTTGATGTGGAGCTATCCTGTGAAATAAAACAGCTTAACTTTTCTCAAACATGCTCTGGTGGTCTTTGAAAGGGTGCGGCACACGGTGGGTGGAAAGGTGCCTGCTGACATCACGCCACCCCTCCACCGCCTCCGTATGATCCTTAGCTCAGGCCCAGCACCGTGAAGGCCCGAAGGCCTGGTTAGAGGAAAAGTGCTTCAGCTGTAGTTAAGTGAAGAAGCTTTCTGCAGTGTGACTCCTGGGAACAGAAGCCCACGTGTCTAAGCAAAGGCAAGAGGGCCATGGGACTACGGAGTTCAGAAAAGGTGTTTTAAAATGCGGGACACTTTCCAGAGATCAAAGGAGACCTACTTCTAATGTCAAGGCTTAGGCCACATGTCAGCATTTGTTGTCTAATCGTGTGATACGGCCTCTTAGGTGGGTATGTGGGTACACATGCCTGGCACTTACTGCCTACTTATTTTGTCTCGGGCACCAGATTAAATATTTGCATGCATTTTCTCATCTGATCACCAATGCAGCTGCTGAAGGGAAGCACCGTCACCATGCTCCACTCGGTGGTGCTGGAGAAATGGAACTGGAGGTGACAAAGTGGCCCCCAAGTTAGCCTAGGAGGTGGAGGAGACAGAACTCGAATCCAGTGCCTCCTCCTAGCCGTGCCCTTCCCAGGTGTGTCACCCGCCCCTCTCCTGAGGTGGGCAAGCCGCTCCTGGCTGCTTGGTTGGGTCTGGCCTTCTGATGAATCCTCCGGGGGATCTGTGTGCCTCAGCCTCAGCAGGGCAGCATGAGGCCTTCTGCAGCCCACGTGCCCGTTATTCCTGCTCAAGGTGCCCACTTTTCAGTGGCGGCCTCTTACTCATTTTGGACACCTCTGAAACCCAAAGCCATGCTTGGTGCGCACCCCACAACCAGTTACCTTCCCAGCGCTGCAGCATGCAGTGTACAGCTCCAAAGGGAAGTCCTTCCTCCCTTCAGAAATCAAGGAAGGATGACTTTTTAGGTAACGCCCCAAATTAACTGCTGGAGGCACAGATGGTTGGACCCTGTTTCCACCCTCAAGCCCCCCAAGTACACACAGTTTACATAAGTAATGACTTTATGGTTCTGCAACTGACTTGATCAAAATTGAGCCACAGATGATTCCAGATATTCAGGGGGCTGAGGCAGGAGGGTAGCAAGTTCCAGTCATCCAGGGCCACTTAGTAAAATCCTGTCTCAAAATGAAAAATAAAAAATGGGGTGGGGATGCAACTCAATGCAGAGGCCCTGGGTTGTAATCCCTGGTGTCATCACAAAAAGAAAAACATTAATTGAGCCCCAGGTCCTTCCCTAGAGCTGCTCTTGGGGATGGAGTAGGTAAATGTGTCTAACCAAGCCCTGGTGTCAGGAGTGGCATCAAGCTGCTCCGGACTTGGTATTAGGAAAGGGTAGTTGCCCAGGGAAAATCATGAGCACTGTCTTCATCTACAGAGCCCCGAGAAATAACCATGGTAGTGGTTTCAGCTACTCAGGTTCACAGTGATTATGCAGCTGTCGCTAACACGAGGAAAATGTTAGTGCAAACACACTGAATGTTTGCACTTGCCAGGGGCTCCAAGTTAACTTGATGGTAAAGTTAATGCTCCATGAGCACATGTTGTATGTCAGGCACAGTGCAGGGCACTGCACATGTCTTGTTTTGTTGAATCCTTACACCCACCTGTGTAGACAGGGTCCCTGCTTCCTGTCAAGGAAATTGATGCCCCGAGAGCTGAAGATCAGGATTCCATAACTGATCTGTTTCCAGAGCACAAAGTTGCTCCTTCTGCACCCTGCCTATAAGGCGAAGCTCAGGAATCACTTTCGGGTTCAGCTCTTGGAGTCAGGATTCTGAGGTTCCCGTGACTCTGAACGTTGGGAGATCTGATTGCAATGAAAGCCACCTGCAGCACAGCCTCAGTTTCTCCCGAGGCCCCAAGATAGCTTTTCCTCAATTTCTTTTAAACCCTAGCACCAAGGAGGATAATTACTATTATTGATTCCTTGCGTTAGAGCCACGTTTGTCTTTACCACTGTAAGAATATTTTCTATTTTCTTATTTTTTTTACTTCAACTCCTCAAAGAACATGGGTATATTGGGTGAAATGTCCATCTGCACAGACGGAGAAGTGAACAGTCAGACAGCATACAGGAGCTGGTTCAAGTCCAGGGCCAGGCAGAAGTGGAGAAAAGACGTCTGGCTCTCCCGGTCCCTGCCCCAAGTTCCTCGGCTCTCCTTTCTCTTCCACAGCCGCACCCATCACACCCGCTCCTGCACTGCACATCCATTGCAGGGGTGGCATCAATCATAGGATGAGCATAGATCCCGGCCTGACTTGAATCAGCACTGACCCAGCACCTGACCCTGCTGTGCTCCAGGACCAAGGTACTAAGGAGAGGCTCTCCCCCCAGGGACAGAGAAGTCTGGAGAGGGTGGCTTTCATAGCTTGTCCTCCACCAGAGCCTTGGGAAATGATGCCAGGACCATCCCTGGTCACAGCTGTTGGTTGGCTTCATCTCTATGTTCTGTGGAGAGGAAGAAGGGGGTCACTGGCATCCAGTGAATGATTAGATCAAGCCAGCTTTTTTTTTTGTCTTTTTCATTTTTATCGGTACCAAGGATTGAACTCACGACCGCCTGCTTGAAAGGCAGGTGCTTATGCCGCTGAGCTAAATCCCCAGCCCCCCAAGCCAGCTTTTTAAGGAAAAAGCTTGATTTGACTTCTACCATGCACTGGCTTTGGAATGAGCTCGGGAGCAAGTCCTTCCCTGCATCCAACGAGGGGCTTGGGGAGTTGGTGCTATTTCCTGCGGTCTGAGGGCTCCCTTGGTGCCTTGACAGAGGGTGCAGAAGCACAAGGGGCAGGATCAGTCACCTGCAGCTGCCAAACTTGCTGAAGGAAGCGGCTTGCCACCCTTGTGCCATGTCACAAACCCGGCCCCACAACATGGTCACAGATGGCAGCTGACCGGAAGGCAGCTGATGGTAGATGGGTGTAAGTGCTTCAGTCGGGCGGATATGTGAGCTCTCCTGCATTTGACCAGGAGGTAACAAAGTGACTGGGCAGGTTGGCAGGAGGAGCAGAGGGGGAAGCCTGCAACGGTAAGGGCAGGGCAGAGAGAGGCTCTTATGGGCCATGTGGGCAGCGAGGCCATGAGGGGTGAGAGGCTGTGCTGAGGAAAACAGTGAGGGACAGGAGGAGCCCACAGCCCCAGGATACAAAACACGGGTCCTTGGGAATCAGCCGGGAAGGCCCTATCATTAATCCTAATGGCACAACTGGAGTGGATATCAGTGTTTTGCAAATAAATGGACAAAGCAAAAATGGAAAAGGATGATCATAGTTAATGTGTTTGGAGAACTTACTGTGTTCCCAGCTGTCTCACAGCTAAATAAAAGTCGCTCACTTGTTCTCCCAACCATCCTCTAAAGCAGGGACTATCGTTCTCGTGACTCAATCCGAGAAGAAGTAGCTCAGAGAGGCTAAGGCACTTGCCACAGGATACTCTGCTGTGATGTCACAGTGCTGGAGCTCAGATCTCGACAGTCGGAGTCCAGAGCTGGGCCTGAGCCTTTCTGCCCTGGGCATGCTTGGCAACATACAAGCCATTGTGAGCTTTGCCAGTATGGGAGTGAATGACCCAAGATACAACCCCTGAGAGCTGTGCCCATGGGCACCGGAGGGGCTGATCCTCACACAGCTACCAGAGGAGGACTCAGGGTTGTCCTATATTGTCCTTCTTGTGGCCCACCCAATTTTGGCTTGATGCCAGTGAGACTGGTATCAGACAGTTCCCTGGAGAGAGGAGGGAGTGAGAACAGGGGACCCTTCTGGGGACACCTTTCCCTGTGGGCAACTACCCTGCTCCAAAGCAGAAAGGCCTAGATAAGAGCCTGGTGTGGCCTCAGCAAGCGTGGTCCCTCTTGTTAAGGTGCACTCAAGAAAGTTACCCATCAGAAACCAAGAGTCCAGAGACAAGTGAGATTTATTTCAGAAGCTGTGGCGGTCAGTCAGCTCAGGCTGTTGGGGCTGCTGGCCTTGATTCCCCTGTTCCCTTTCCTTATACATCTCTGTATGCGTTCACAGGGTCAGGGGTTACCACTGATAGCATTCTGTCGCACTATCATTGCTTTGGCGTGTCATAAGACCTTCTTACACATCTGATTAATTGACACACAGACTGTGAGCATCAGGCAGTTTGCCCCCTTGAGATAAACCTCTTTGTTCCTCTTTTCATAGTTTTTGTGGCCAATTAAGGGAGAGGAGGGTGCCTTTGGGGGATTTGGTTAAAGTTCCTCTCTGTTTAGAATCTAACTGCTATCTAAGCATCTAAGCTATAATCTATATAGGACATAAAATAAGTGAAGTTTTCAAGACAAGGGTTTGAGGGGGGTGGCAAAGAAAAGAAAGCAAATAGTGGGGGTTGCTAACGCTGCCAGCTCTCTGGTATTGGCAGTGGGAGGCTGTGAGGGAGGGTGTGGCCACGGGAAGAGGCCACCTGCAAGTGCAGAGCTTGTATTTTAGTAACGGGCACGGGAGGAGTCCCTGGGCCTTTGCAGGCCTGTAGAACCCATCGTGGGGTCTGATTCTGAGCTGTGCTGGGCTGTGGCCGTGGGTATGAGGCAGATTCCTCCACCATCAGCTGTGACTCTACTAGCCCCCCACGGTGGCTGGACTCCTGTCTCCAGACCACCCAGCACAGCTCCCAAGGCCCTGAGAGGACCTGCCTCCGCTGTCTCCCACTGCTCTCACCTCCATCTCTCCCCTCCCTCCTTCCTTCTTTCCTTCCCTCCTTCCCACATCTGCTCAAACTCCATTGTTCCCAGTCCCACACTGAGCCATACCAGCACCAACCCGCCTACCCCCTCTCAGCACACGTAGCTGCTGTAATTATGATCTTGCCTTTGCAGAGTCTTAATTCCAGTGTGCCTCTCCCAAAACTGAACTGGCTATTTCACCAGCTGACCTTGAGCCTTCACGTAAATTGGACAGTTGATGGCCTGCTTCTATCCCACAGCTCCAAATTTATGTAGGAAAATACATTTGTGTGCAGTGCTCACTATGCACCAAGCATTCTTCAATGGGAAAGCTATCAGGCACAAACTATTTTTAGTGCTATGAGGTCCAGAGAGGTAGAGTAACTTTCCCAAGGTCACACAGTTGATGAAGGCTAACTGCAAATGCATGTCCGTCAACACATACAGCACAAGTGCCCGGCTCCCTCCGATCGGTATTAAATTATTTCTTTTCACTGTACCTGGCCAAGGTCTCCATCCCAGTGACGTCTGACGAAGACCTCAGGGTCTGCACTGATCCAGGGGAGCAGTGCCTCCTGCTGGCAGCCCCTTTCGCCTGTCTTCCAACCCCTGCATGTGGCCCAGGAGGGAGTGTTGGGGTGAATTTGACCCTGCACCTTGTAGGTCCAGGACAGGGGCTCTGTACAAGTCAGGGCTCATCAAATGCCAGAGACATGAAGGAACACAAGGTCAACGGGCCAGGTGCTCGGCCACTTTTCCTCCTCAGAGCCGGAGTCCACATCCAGCCTGATTCTCTGCTGCCTCCAGGTGATCATTCGTAAGATGGCAGGCAAGAGAAGCAGCATCTAATTTCGATGACATTTTGAAATTTGTTGAATAGCAGACTAGTATAATTAGCATATTTTTGTTTTTCCACTTTTCTTTGCCCTTTTTAGAATTTTAAGTAAATCACTATTATCCTCAAATACAATGGTTTACATCTCTACAAATGATATTTTTGACATAGTGACAATGTCTGTACACATTGAATAAAGTAAATTATTTTATGATATAATGTAGTAGCTGATACATATTCAAAATTCTCGGGTTGTTTCAGGAGTGCCCACTTCTAAAGCTGCTCTCCTTCTGTGAAGGCAGCTGTCCTGCAGCTGGAGAAACAGGGCCTGACGGTACTCAGTTCCCCTGAGGCACCGCCTTCTTACCTGTTGTTGCTTAGTGCTGGGATGATACTATTTTGTTAGGAGCTGGAAAATCATGATTTTATGCTTTTATCATTCCTCCTGTATTTATTTATTTCCCTTGACTTATTTTTTAAATTTTATTTTTTATTTTATTTATTGATATTTTTGAAACAAGGTCTTGCTGTGCAATTCAGGCTGGACTTGAGCTCACTTTGTAGCCCAGGCTGGTCTCAAACTTGCAACAATTCTCCTGCCTCAGCCTCCTGAGTGCTGGGATTACAGGTATGTACCAACATGCCTGGTTCTATTTTTTTATTTTATAGAGGAAAAATACAATAAAATTCCAATAATTAGAGGGTAACAATGGTTAATAGGTTGCATATTGTTATGTTTAAATTAGTTACTTAGTGTACAAGATATATGCATTTAATTGTCCAAACAATATTAGCACAAACCTTTCTTTTCAATGAACTAACACAAATTAGTAGTATAATTATCTTAACTATCGTGTATATACGTAAAATATTTATTATTTCTTTCAGTTTTTCACACTAGGGAGTCAATACAATGTTTACACATGTTAGTGTGATTTATTCTCCTGTTTTATTAGCAAACAGTCTCACCAACATGGGTTATGATTTTCCCGAAACAGTTCATCATGGAAGGGAAGAATAAATGTTGAATTTCTCTTATTTATCAAGAGTGACATGACAGCTACCTCCTGTTGTGACAGATGAGACTTGGGATAAATTCTTAGCTTTTAAAACATTCAATGCATTTCAACCAGTGCTAATCCATATTCCTTTTGCTGCTTAACTCAGCGAAAGCAACTTCAAACTGAATCTTGCATTCTGTAATTTTTGACGACTTCTTTATTTAGGGGCACAAAATGCTCCAGGTCTGTCTTGTACCGTGTGCTGCTGCAGACTCAAATCAACCATTTCTCCAACAAGACCTGATTCCTTTGCCCAGGGACTATATTCGAGCATGAGAGCGGCAGTTTGGCGACTAGGGGAGCTCGGGTTTGGATTTGGCAGTCCGACTTCAGAGCCCTTGGTCTCTGTGACCTCCACTGATAACACTTATTAGTGAGCAGAGCAGTGATACAGCAACCAGAACTCCCGCTGCTGTAGGTGGCCACCCACTTGGTGCCTGGCAACCTGATAGGTGCCTTCTGGTGCCTTAAGATGACTTTGCTCTTACAGCCCCTTAGTTACTATCAACCAGAGGGTTGGCAAGGGTTGATTCTGTCTCCTTTCCTTAGTGCTGGGAGTCTCCTTTGCTCTGCTGCCCAAGCCCCTGGCACTCTTCATCGGGGCCTCTTTCATACCTTTCTAGATGACTGATCCAGTGATAGAGTGACATGTGTGTGCCACTGCACTGGGTCTACAAATCCTTTTTCAAGGCCTGAAACTCCCTCATCGTGGTTATGTTAATTTATTTAGTTTGGTGGTACTGAGACTGCAACCAGGGTCTTCATACTGAGTTGTGTTTTGGTTTCAGTTTTGGTTTTATTTTTATTCTGAGACAGGGTCTCACTAGATTGCCCAGGCTGAGCTCAAACTTGCAATCCCCTGCTTTCGCCCCCTAGCATGCTGGGATTCTAGGTGTGTACCACCATGCCCCAGATTTTTACATAGCTGCCTGTTTCTTGTTCACTGGGTCACTGCATACATATCATTTCCTCACAGGGAATTTCCACGTCAATTCTCAGTCTCCTTTATGACCTATGCTATCACGCTATTTTATTATTTTTATATTGTTTACCACTTTATGAAATTCTTGGGTGTTTTGCTTTGTTTTTGCAGTTCTAGGGATTAGACCTGAAGCTTTGCCCATGCTGGGCAGGTTCTGTGGCATGAGTTACTTCCTCAGCCCTTTTAATTTTGAGACAAAGTTTTGCTAAATTGTCTAGGATCACCAGTCTTCAAGTTGAATCTTCCTGCCTCAGCATCCTGAGTCTGGATTACAGGTCTGTGTCACCAAGCTGGCTGACACGCTTCATTTGATTTCTTATATACACCCTTGTTTCTGTCCTCATGCTGTTCTTTCATCTGGGTTGTCAGCTCCAAGTCTGATTTCTTCTCCCCTGTAGTCCCCACCTGGCACTGGTGAGATGGGGCTGTGGAGTTTGTTAAAGTGGACAGACCAGGCAAGGCCTGGGATTCCTCACATTTCCCTTCCCTAACTGAACGAGGAGGGTCCCAGAGGTCCCAGAGGGCCACAGGAAGTGGAGCCCTTCTCTTCCAGAGGGGAGAAGGCCACGGGATGCCCTATGGCTACGCCTGACCAGGTGCACACACAGAGGGGACAGTGCTGCCCTCAGAGGTAGTGTCCAGTCTGGCAGGCAAAAACCCAAGACACCCAGTGAGAAAGCTGAAATTCAGGTGAACAAGGACTAATTTTTTAGTTTCGTTTTGTAAGCAATATTTGGGTCACACTGTACTTAAAAATTGTTCCTTTATACCTGAAGTTCACATTTGCTGGACTTCTTGTGTTTTATCCTGCTACTCCAACCTGGATTCTCACTGTTGCTAAGCATTCAGGAGATTCTGCTGAGCACCGGTCTTTTTTAAAAACATGAACATTTTGTTTTCACTCTGGAATAAGGAAGTACAGCTCCATATCGATCTGCAGAAGGGAATGTCCCTGGAACAGTGTTTGCTCCAGGGAGGGTGAAGTCCTCCGGGAGGGTGAGAGCAATGCTTTGTTCAGAGCTCAAAGCGGACGTTCAGCCCGTGCTTGTACCCGGAGTGCTCCTTCCCAGGGCCTCGGGAACAGCCGCCTGCGGAACACCTGAAGCAAGTTTTGTCAGGGAGCGAGAGATCGAGGTAAAGTGAGCTCATCTGGTGACTCAACACTGTCTGCCTCACCCACCACTTGGCGGCCAGGACTCAAAGGTGAATGGCGTGGCCCCGGAGGCAGTGGCTTGGTTCCTGCTGACTCTGTCCTCATGGTTGAATGAGGAGGATGTATTTCCCTCCCTGCCACTGTCTCCTTCTTTCCCCATTCTTCCTTTGCTCTTTTGTTTGGCAGTACTGGTGACCGCACCCAGGCCCTCGCACATACCAGGTAAAGCTCTACCACAGTGCTGCGGCCCGGGCCCTTTTTGTTTCATTTTGGGACTGGGGCTCAGGCTGACTTCATACATGAAAATCTCCTGACTCAGCCTCCAGAGCAGCTGGGATTACAGACAGGTGCCACTGGGCCTGACCCTCCTCCATTCTTTCTCTCCTTTTCCACTTCCTCGTTCAGCCTCCCAGCCATTTGGCACCTTAAACCTAACTACAGTGTGGTCTACTAGTTACACAGAAGAGTAACTGATAGAATCGTGGGGGGTTGCGGGGGTTGAAAAGAAAATAGGTATGAAATATAAATGACCTTTATTTTGAGAATGTGGGGAGAGACACCCCCGATCCCCTGGGGCGAGCGATCTCTCCGTGGAACACGTGGAGTGGAGGCATATAAGTAACCTCGGTTTGGGGTGGAACCTAAGGGGCATTAGTGATGCACGGGCAGCCCATTGGCACTCCTTTGGCGCCATAGGTAAATTCCTAGGGGTGGGGGAGATGGCGCTCCTTGGTTCTGCCTGCTACAGTGTCCTGTCCGGGCCAAAACTCTTTCAGTAACTGCATGCAGGCTGGGGCCGCATCTTACTCTCACTGTGTCTTGCTCGCCGCTCCACCCTCTGAAGCCAGAACCTTCCCGGGCCATCCCTCAGCCTGGAGTTCATCTCGTGCCCTGTCTAACTGGACAAAGCCATAGGGGCATCTGGCCCTCCACTCCTCTCTTCCTATCCTGGCCCTACTAGGTAACCTGGGATTCTCAGGCCTGGCCCTGCCTGCATACCCTTTTGGTTCAGTTATTCCTAAGTGTCAGGGGGTGATACCCTCTGATCCCGGGTTTTTAAAGACCTGGGTTCAAGCCTCAGCATTGCCAGTTACAAAACTGATTTTGAATGAGTCTCAGTTCTTACATGTATAAAATGGGAATAAACCATACGATAAGGTTCTTATTCTGTAGTACTTGATGTGTACTCTCCAGCCAGAGTGCTTGAATTCAAATACTTCTTACTGGCAGGGTGCCCAGGGCTAGGAATCTGTATCTCACTCCTCAAGTGGTGAGTCTGAATAAGTGAATAGGTCAAGCAAGTGCACAGGAATAAAAACACTTTCTGTAGTTGGACGAGGTGGAGCACACCTGTAATCCTGACATTTCAAGTTGGTCCAGTCTGGGTTACTTGGAGAGACACTGTCTCAAAATGAAAGATAAGAAAAAGAACAGATAAACTGCTCAGAGCAGGCCAGATTGTAGCGATCAGGGAAGGCAATGCGAAAGAGGAGGCATCAGTCGAGATTCTGAAACATTTGGCAAGGCCTAAATTTTATTTGTTTCCTGGTTGTCTTTTCTTAATAGGCAACCTGCTGTGGGATTTAAAAACCACCACTTCGGCCCAGATCGGCAGCGCGGAAGTCCTGCGCATGCGCAGTGCCGCACCTTCGCCTGCGCTCCACCTGCGCACTACAACTCCCCGCAGGCTCCGCGCTCGTCTCAGGCGTCGCGGGCTGCTGACGTGAACATCAGCGCGGGGAATTTCGAGTGGAGTCCCGCGCAGGAGGCCAGTGGGTCCCCGGTATCCTCCTGGGCGATCATGGAACCCCTGGATGAGCCTCGGTGGCCTCCGGGTCTGGCAGTCATGAGGGTGAGTGTCCCGGAGACTTTGGGGGGTCGGGGTGTGCGTGGGAATCCCACTGCACCTGGGGTGGAGAAAGGACCTGGCTGAGCGGCCGGCAGAATCGGGGTGCGCGGCCTTGCCGTGTCTTTTGCCAGCAGCTTAGTAAAAGCTCTCTTTCCTTCCCTTGCGAAGTAACGGGAACGGATCCTTGGCTGTGTTCCGGAAGGGGGAATTCTGAGGGTCAGTCACAGCAGGAACATTGTTATCAGAAAAACTAAACAGTGTACAGATAACCCTGAGTATGGAGGTCACAGACACTATGTAGTGACACTGGGCCACATTTTGGCGGCCACTGTATCAAGCAGTACTTTAAAAATCACCTAGCAAAGGAGATAGTCTGCTTTACATGATCTTTCATTTCTCCTAATTACTGTGTGAAGGCCCGTTTGTCCTAACATACTGCCCCCATTCCTCCTCGACATGTCCTAACTCGTCTGACAGCTGCTTGTCTCGCTTGCTTTTAAAAGGAGGTCGAGACTTCGGATCAGCATTAGTTCATTTTATTGCATTTTATTCGCGCAACTTTTGTCTGTCTTTTTGAGACAGGCTTTTGCTACATAGGTCAGGATGGCCTTGAGCTCACTTTGTAGCACAGGCTGCCCTTGAACTTGTGGCAGTTCTTCCTCAGCCTATTCAGTGCTGGGATTATTAGGTGTGCCCCACTACACCCGGCCCTACCGAACATTTGTGCATTTTGGCTTGCCTTTTTAAATTTTTATGCTGGGAATTGAACCCAGGGCCTTTGAATTGAGCTACATTTCCAGTCTCCCTCCCCACTTTTATTTTTTATTTTGAGATAGGCACTCTAGGTCGGTACGTTGTCCAGGTGGGGCTTGAATTTTCAGTCCTCCTGCTTTGGCCTCCTAGAATGCTGGGATTATAGGCGTCCACCACTGCCTTTCTGTTTTTGACAGGGCATACCAGTTTCCATTTTTGGATTTTGTGATCCCTGGATTCCCGCTAGGTTTGCTCAGAAGCAGGTGTATTTTGCTGTGCTGGGAAAGAATCATTTTCTTGTTTTTTCTTGTTGCTGTGATTTCTGCCCCCCACCCCCATTTGTGACTGGATAACTTTCCCCTTTTCCTCCTTTTTTTTTAAAACTTGGGGATGATAATATCTGTTGCCTACCCTAACTCTTGAAACAACTTTGAGAATTAAGTGAAAGGCCTTGGGAGAGGGTAAAGGCTTGTTCTTCCTGCTTTGATTAGGGGCACTGTTTGGGGACATAAGATTTATCTATGATGAAAAGCTAACATTGTGGTAAGATACAGGCAGAAAAGCTGTGGTTTTGACCTTGTGATCTTAGCATCAAGATACAGTGAAGAGCATAGATTTGAATTCCATGGACTGGGTTGAATCTGGTCTTTTTCTCTTACTGTGTGGCCTTGGATCACTTTTTTTTTTTATCCTCTTAAGATTGTATTTCCTTTTTTTTTTTTTTTTTTTTGTCTTTTTTCCTTTTTATCGGTACTAGGGATCGAACCCACGACTGCCTGCTTGCAAGGCAGGCGCTTATGCCGCTGAGCTAAATCCTCAGCCCCAAGACTGTATTTCCTCCAACTAGAAACAAAAACAAACAGTTAAGAAAGTTGCTTAATGGAGTTAGGTATGTGGGTAGACAGCCTCCTGGCTAATTTATTGTGTTTAACACTGCGGGCACAAATTGAGTGCTCAGAAATTATTTTCTAATTGATGGAAAGTATCTAGAATGTAGTAAACATTTAATTAATATGTCTTTATTGTTATTTTAAGAACTTAGCATGTTAAGTGCTTCTCCTTTTGTTTGTTGTCATGAAGATTGAGTTGGATAAAGGAAGTGGAAGAACTCTGTGCCCTGTAGAGCTCCTGCGTGTAGGTTTATGCATATTTTATTTATTTCCACATCTCCTAGTGTTCTTTAGAGGAAGGTTCTGTGTCTTTGCTGACCTTGGCATCTCTCCACAGCTCTGAATATAGTGTTCACTGCTGGAGAATATTTAGTGAACTTCCACCAAAGAGCGTAATGAGCCCACATTTAGCTCAGATTAGATCACGGAGTCCTAAGATTGGGAAGCCATTCCCCCACCATCTCCCAATTTTTTGTCTAATTTTTTGTTTCCTCTAGGGCCAAAGCACTGGAAGCAGCTGTGACTGGGGTTTGCATATCAAATAAAATCTGAATCAGAACCTACAATTTCTAATTTGTGACCCATCTAAAGTCTTTGATGTCTGGAATTATTTATAATCTTTGTTTTTTTAAGTTGGGAATTTGTTTTTAAAGGAATTGTTTATAATCTTTTAAGACAGCAAAAGCAACGAGAGCCTAAAGAAGACTCTTTCCCTCTCTTACATTGTGTGCAGGCTCCCCGCCCAGGGTGGATGTCACACTCTCACCTATAACCCCAGCATTGGACCAGGAATCAGTCACAAACTCTAGAAGCCTCCTCCCATGACTGTAGGAGGCTTTGGGGGAAATCCAGACACAAGCCATACCATTCTAGCATTAGTCTTTGAAAACATTTTAATGGTTACATAATATTTCATCATATAGACAATTAATGACATTAGTTTTTTAGCATATGTTATAATTTAGGTAATAGATTTATATAGTTAAAAAAAAACCCCCATAGTATAAAAAGTCAGTCTGCCTTCCACAGAGCCCCTCATGTCTCCAGTTCCCAGATCGCTAGTCACCCTTGCTCGTTATTTTATTGTATATTTTTCTAGAATCTCCTTACTATATATGATAAAAACAAGGTCCATTCTATCCCTTCCCCTTTTCTTTTGCAGTGCTGGGGATGGAATCCAGGGCACTGCGCATGCTAGGCAAATGCTGTTCCTCTGAGCCACGCCCGTGAGCCCCCAGCTCTTCCTTTTGGAGGAAGCTTTGCAGATCACGTAGACTGCATATACTGACTTAAATGATTGTAAAAGCTTTCGGGTTGTAAGAATAGATCCCTTTCAGTTTAGGCTGCATCATAGGTTGACGCACGTGTCTGACTTTCCAGTTGATCCACTCTGCCTCCTCTGCTGTCCCTGACCCTGCAGTTTCCAGGACTCCCATCTGATTCTGCTGGGTGGTACACCGGGCAGGAAGTGCTGACTGCCAGAGTGGGAAGACAGGAAGTCAGTCTCGGCTTCACGGCTTCACTCATGCCTGTGGCAGAAACCAGGGTCGTTATTTGTGAAGTAAAGGTTTTAACTACATAATTTCTGACTTTTTTTTTTCTTGTGATGGTGCATGCTGGAGATCAAGCCCATAACCTCATACATACTAGGCTAGTGCTCTGCTTCCCTTGACTGGATGATTCCTAATGTTTGCCTTTAGTAGCTTCTGATTTGGTTCTTAACATATGTAGTGACAGTGATTACTGGTTCCTTTAACCTCAGGTAACGCAGGCCTGGGGCTGGGTCTGAAGAGGAGGAGAGTTCGTGTAAGAACCAGCAGTAAATAAACAATAGAGCAGAAATACAGAAATGTTTTGTAAACGACTAAGAGTAAGGCACAGGAACTGCAGTATCATTGTGTTGAAAACAATTTGAGTATCTTGAGATTTGAAGGGTTACATGAGATTTTTTTTTCTCTGTCAAGATTCTTCATATGTTGTCTGGAGTTAGCTTTTGAATATATGTATCTGGCAAAGAAGTTTGCTTATTTGTAGGGGATAGAAAAAGATTCCATGATGAGTGTTCCAATTCTAGTGTCATCCTAAATGTATATGTAATTTTGCATTTCAGACAGTAGATGATTTGCTGCGATGTGGAATTTGTTTTGAATATTTCAACATTGCAATGATAATTCCTCAGTGTTCACATAACTGTAAGTATGTTTTGTCTTCATGAATTAGTAATAATGTGATTTCTATACAAAGTAGTGTTAATTTAGAACAAAAGTATATATGCATGTTTATTTCTCACCTTTACGTTCTCTGTCTTGCAGTGTTAAGGAGGCCTTTCCTAGCACTGTTTTTTTTTTGAGACACGGTTCAAGCCGGCCTGGAACTCACTGTGTAGTTCAGACTGGCTTTGAACTCTAGATCCTCCTTCCTCAGCCTCCCAAGTGCTGGGGTTACAGGTGTGTGACACTGGGATTGGTCCCTTCCTTCTTGAATGTGAAATTTTTTCCTCAGTTTTCTATTGTGCCTCCCTTAAAAATTTTTAGACATTTTGTGGTATTTATGATAATAAAGATTTGTATTATGATATGTGGTTATTTTTCTTAACTTTTTTAGTTAATTTTTGAATTAATTTTTTTAGTTAACTTTTTGAATTTAAGAGTTTTTGTTTGTTTGTTTTGGCAGATAGTAGGGGATTAACCCAGGGATGCTTTCTCGATGAGCAACATTCCTAGGCCTTTATAATTTATGTTTTGAGACAATCTGAGTTTCTGTGATCCTCCTGCCTCAGCCTCCCTACATGCTGGGATTATAGGTGTGTGCCATCACACCTGACAATAATTTTGTTCTTTTTTATTTATCTTTTTTCTTTTTGAGATATAAATCTTTCTAGTTACCCAGGCTTGTCTTAAACTTGTGGACTCAAGTGATTCTTCTGTCTCAGCCTCTCAAGTCACTGGAACTTCATGCATACACCACCATGCCCAGCTTAGAATTTTATTTTTCACTGGATAACAGATAGTTCAACCAAATAGTACTTGGTATAACATTTTACAGGTTAAAAGTCTATAATGAGAGGAATTTATGATAGGTTTTGCCCCAATAAATTCACCATAAATTAAAAATATTTTTGACTCTACTGGGTGTTGAACACTGAGCTACAGCCCAGTCTTCCCTTTAAAAATTTTTATTTATTTTTAAACTTTCAGACAGGGTTTGGCTAAGTTGCCCAGGCGAGGCTGGAACTTGCGGTTCTTCCTCTGCCTCCCAGAGTGTGGGCTGACAGACAGCCAGACCTGAGTTTCCAGAGTGCATTTAATGGACCTTCCCTACCCGACAGCAGAGATTAGCAGCAGAGTCCACTGCAGGGCGTATGGATAGCGTTGGTTATCCTCCTGATGACGTGCATGGCTGACTGGGTAGCTCACGGCTGCTGCCCATCTTCCTAGGCAGTATCATCCTGCAGGAGTACGTTGTTCCATATTGCTAGCTTGGGGAAAAAATTCCTTATGGTTCTCTTGAATGTGTATTGGTTTTGCTTCAGGTGAAGTGAAAAACTTTTAAATTAAACCATTGGGGATTATATGAATTTCTAGTGTGAGAATTCTACCACTGAAGAGAATAACAGATTTATCATTAATCTGCTTTGTGATGCTTGAAAGATTAAAATTTACCTAGAATTTACTTAGCATATAGATATATGACTAACCCTAGCACTTTGGAAGACTAAGGCAGGAGGATTGCAAGTTTGGCTCCAGCCTGTGCAGTTTAGCTAGAGCTTGTCTGTAAATGGAAAAAAAGATAAAAAGGCTGGGGATGTACCTTAGTGTAAAGGCTCTTGGTTCAATGCATAATACTGAAAAAAGAAAAAATAATTTACTTATCCTTCTCTTCATGATTTTAAAGGCATTTAAATACTAAGTGCTTAGTATAATAATCAAGTTTTTGTTTTTGAGGTGCTGGGGTTGCACATCCTAGCCATGTACTCTACCCCTGGATTATATCCCCAGCTCTAAGCATCTTTGTATAATGTAATTTGAGGTATTCAGTACGTAGTGGTTGGTTAGGCCTATCATTGTTCAGTTTATGTATTATTTAGGTTCATAATTTTTCTTGTCCTCTATTTTAAGTTGATTTATCTTAGCTAAAAAATCAAGTGACTCTTTAAAAACCATGGTTTCAGTAGGAAAAACTGTTTGTGAAAATTTTTATGAGGAAGACATACATAATCAAGGATGGCAGGAATAGCATCAGGGACAAAAGTGATGCACTTAGGCTTGAGTCTTGAATCCCTGTAAGTGGGGTGTGCCGTAGTCCAGCATTTCTTCAAGCATTCAAGTCTGGTCGTTTCTACCTTAGATGATGGTTATGAGAATCAAACGTCCAGAACTCAGTATCTGACCTGTTATGAGTTCTTAAAAATTTTAATTTTCTTTCAGACCGTGTCTTAGTTACTTTCCTCTCATTGCTGAGACAGAACAGCCAACACGCACAAGTTAAGGAATGTCAGGACCCAGGGTGCTAGTTTGTCATCTAATTGGGGGTACGAGGAGGATGAAAGACAAAAAGAGACAGAGTTAATTTGGAATGCGGTGCCCAGGGGCTCTTGCCTTTAGTGGACAGAGTGCCTGAGCATCTGTTTCATCTCACTTTTAATCACTCAGATGTGTATACAAGCAATTAGAGCGGCAAAAGATTGTGGTCTGCTTCCTGTTATCCATTAGTACATGTCCAGGCAAACTACCGATCTCAGCTGTGCTGGTTTTTCCCTTCATGCTCACGAGGAGGTCAGTCAGGCCTCAGTTCTCCCTCAGTTCCCGGATCGCCCGCAAACGGAGGAAGGTTAGCTAGCTCACAGCTTGTAGAGGTTTCAGGCCGGCCCTGGCTGGCTCCGCAGTAGGTGGCACAGCAGACGGGCATCGCAGAGGAGAACAGTGCGTGGCAGGCAGCAGGTGACGCCACAGCAAGGCTGACCATTGCTCTCTCCATCCCTGTCTCTTACCCGGCTTACCCAGAGCGGGCAGTCCTGCTGCCCTTCATTCTGCACTGCGCCACGAGTCAGTCCCAGAGTCACACATTCGAGATCCCGCCACCTCTGCAAAAGCCCCACCTATAGCTGCAAGAGGCTTTGCAGGGTCATCTGTTTCTAATATTTTTACATCGTCTTTAGTATGTGTAATTTGCATGCAATAAAATACATTTTAAGCATTCGTTAGATTGTATACATATCAATGAGCTTTGACAAATGATTCATTGGGCCACTGCAGCTAAGCCTTGAGCACTCCGTGTCACCTCGCATTCTCACTTCACTTAATACAGTCCCATCCCGACATCTGTTCTAGACGCTCCGTTGGCCTGCGTCACACTGTCCGCCTCAGTTTTGTGTCTTTGGAATAAAGCCTGGAGTCAGGCAGCGCTTGGCTTCCCCTTTGTCGTCGGTTCTTTTCAGAGCTTTTCATTTCAGACACGTTTCCGGGACGTTTGGATTCAGCTTATCAGTTTCTACAGAAAGTCCCGCTGGAGCTGCCTGGACTCTAGAGATCAGTTTCATGGGTTTGCCGTTTCACAGTCTGACGTGTGTGAAGGTGATGCATTCTCCCGCCCTTTAGATTCTCTTTAATTTCTCTTGACAGTGTTATTTAGTTCTCATCGCTCATACTTTGCACACAGATACATAATTTTTTATATTGGTCTCTTGTGATCACACTGAATTCACTTTTAATTTCCATCATCTATTTTTGTTGGTTTCTTAGAAATTTTTCCATGTGTATTCATGTCATCTGTGAGTAAAGGCATAGTGACGTGTTTTTAACCCACATTTGTTACATTTGTGTCACACAGGCCAGGACGGCAAGTGCAATGCTGGACGGAGAAGTGCTGCGGGACACCCTGTCCTTGTCCTGGGTTTGTCGGGAGGCCTTCCGTCTTTCATCCTCAAATAATGTTACCTATATTTTAATATTCACAATATATTTACATAAATTTACCAGGTTCTGGTCCTACTTAGTTGAGAAGCCTTTTAAGAAAATAATATTCCTTACCGTTTTTGTCTCTGGCGGATCTGCAGTAATGTACTGAAAGGAAGGAGTTTACTTGCCCAGAACCAAGGAGCAGACTCAGGCGTGAGGAGCCGCGGAGGCTGGCTTTTAGTGGCAGTCTTCCAGGCGGTGTCGCTGTGAGCCTGCCCACCTGGGTGGCACGGGGAGCTGTACCCTTAGTGCAGAGGCAGGCCCCTTCTGCAGTCCTCACTGGCTGAATATTCCGGGGAATCCAGTTTCTCCAGATGTCACCGGCTGGACGCCGTTCTCTCCATGAGCACCCCTTCCTCCTCCCAAATGGAGTTTGGGTTTCTCCATGTTCCCTCTGTGCTTTACTTCATCATCTGAGAAACGGCTGCTGCTGTTCAGGGCTGTGCACCCCTGCGATGACCGACTGTGTTCCCACCTGGTCTTAGCTGTTTTGCCATGGAAATGGGCCGTCTCTGCTTTCTTCTCCCTCTGCATTGCTCAGCTTTTTCCACAAAGGCTTTGGTGTGTGTTTCTCCTCCTAGATCCTGTTTGTTAGAGATCTCCTAGGTGCAAGAACTTTGTCAGTCTGCAGGCTGTCAGGCAATTTTACCTGCTAGTAACTTATACTGTCTTGGGAATGGGCAGTGTGGTTTCTTTTTTGACATGTACCTTTTTATACCTGGTGTTAAAAATGTGTATTTTCTCTTTCTTTGATAGATCTAGCTAGAGGTTTATTATTTGTAGTCTTTTCAAAGACCTAGATTGGCTCATTGTTTTCCATGTTTGGTTGGTTTTGTTTTATTGATTTTATACCCCTGGTTTTACTATTACCTTCCTTCCACTGTGAGTTTAATTTGCTGATCTTTTTTTCAGCTTTTTAAAATAGAAGCTGATATCATTGTTCTAGACTTGTTTTTGTTTTTGATTTTAAGGGCCTCACTTTGAAGTCTGTGCTGGCCTTGAACTCACTTTTGTAGCCCACAAACCCACAGTGATCCTCCTGTTTGTTTCAGTCTGGCAAGTACTGGGATTATGGATTACAGGCAAGCACCCCACCCTGCCCACCCAGCTCAAGACTTTTCTGATGCTTAAAGCATTTAAAGCTATAAATTTCACTCAAAGCTCAGCTTTCCTTTATCCTATAAAATATGTGGGACTCATATATTTTAATTTTTCATTTTAAAATATATTTTACT